AATTACAGGTTAGTCGCTGCTGCTGGTACCTTTGTGACTCTATTTAATCTTAGTAATACCACATATTCAAGTTAAATAATTATATTTTGGGAGTAAACATTGGTATTGGGAATCTTAATTGTTGCATTTCTCTTATGGAAGTGCTTATTTCCCTGCAGCATACAATAATTTCCTTGTATTTTGTGGCCTTACAGACCCATGCATGAAATCACCTTCTCCACCATTGACAAACCAAAGCTTCTTAGCGAGGTAAACCTATGCATGCTTGAAGATTCCATCAGGAACAGTTTATATGTTCAAGATCTTTATTGATACATTTCATGGTCTATATCTTGATTAAATGTTAATAGCTAAAATTCAATTTGTACTTTTTAACTGATACCATGTTCTCTGATACATCCAGCTCACATCGCTGCTTGGCGAACTTGGTCTAAACATTCAAGAAGCACATGCGTTTTCAACAAATGATGGCTACTCACTCGATGTCTTTGTTGTTGTTGGTTGGCATGATGAGGTATTTGAACATTTTACTGGAACTATGCTGGCTACGCATTTGATGATGATGTCCTTGCATCGCTGTGCACTTGTTACCTGCAGCAGTAGAAAAAAGAACCACACTTTTCTATGATTTTAATTGGTGGACATTTTCCATCACCAGATTTTTACATGTCATACAAATGACGTGGGCATTTGACTATCAGAGAATATGGAAACCATAACATGCTTCATATAATTTTTCTTTCTTCTCTGTACAAATCTATCTGATATCTAACTAGGCATGTGGAACTACATTAGTTTGCACAATTGAGTAGCATATGTACTTGAACGGAAACATGTAATCAGAATGCACTTTATGGTCTGATATTGATGAAGATGCGTTTTGTGCTTTCATGAGAGCCTGGTGAGGTCTAGCATGTTTGATGTGATGATAATTATTCCCTCCGTTCTATAATATTCCAAAATCCCTTATATTATGGATGGAGCGAGTACATGATAATTTATAGCGTAGCATTTTAAGGTTATCAGTCCAATGGTTGGTGAGTTAAACTTTTCTGATGGAATTAGTGTGTGCATTTTGCACATATGCTCAACATTCTGTAACTAATACTGTGGATCATGCTGCTATATTCAAGGAGGTGATGTTGGTATTCCCTAACTTCCCAACAGTTTTGTAATCAAACAATTTGTCAAAAGATGAGCCAGCAAATACCTCTGATTTCCATAATTGTTCTAAATATTTTCTCTACTGTTTAACGTTTGCTTATCTGTTTATTTTTATAGGAAACTGAGGATTTAATAGAATCAGTACGGAAAGAAATTGGCAAGATTGATGAGGTGAACCACTGAGTTTCTACTTAATTGTGGTTCCGCTCTTAGTTATCACATGCTTATTTTCTGCTTGGTGTTGAATTGACAGACGCAGGGATGGTCTACAACTCATTCATGGTCTTCTCCAGTTGAAAATATGCAGATTGGGGAGAATTCAGCAGCTGACCATGTTGAAATACCTAGGGATGGTGCCAGTGAATGGGAGATTGATGTAAAGCTACTCAAGTTTGGGAATAAAGTAGCATCCGGATCATATGGTGATCTGTGAGTGCTTGTTGATTACTATCATTAAAGAAAAAGTCCAATTTATGCTTTGATGAGTCACTTAACCAATCTGTTTTTCTTCCAGTTATCGGGGTACATATTGCAGCCAAGATGTTGCTATCAAAGTGCTCAAACCTGAGAGGATAAATGCGGACATGCAGCGTGAATTTGCCCAGGAAGTATATATTATGAGGTATGCTACAAGATCTGCTCTGTTTGTCATTTATTTGTTCTGTAATATATTTATTTTATCCCATTAAGTGTTGTTTCTTCTTTTCTACCATGAATGATATCGTATAAAAAAAAGCCATGGTTGCGCTGAATGACTTCATAGCTGAAATGCATTCGTTCAATCGCTATTTGCTGCCAGTGTCTTATTATATCAATCTTTTGTTTGCTTATGGATTGTTCATATTATTACTCCCTCCATCCACAAAAGTTACACCTATTTCACATTTGAGTTTTTCCAACTAAGTTGTTCCTATTTGTAGTCTTTATGCATTCAAGACTTAAATGAAGAGATAAATTAAATATTTTATTAGAACCCAAGGAGTCATCTAAATACTCATTGGTTGCATGCTTGCATTCACTCCTTGATTTTGTAACATCCAAAGTGATTTAATTTCTCTTTGGTCTTGGTGTCAAAAGTAATATGTGTAACTTTTGTGAATGGAGGGAGTATTACCTATAACTATTTGTAACTGCATCACCCTTATGAAGCTGTCTTCCATTAGTTCTGCTATGTTCTTATCTGTTCAGATTTTAAGTTTATGGGGATATATTTTGGATTTTAGGAAGGTTCGCCACAAGAATGTTGTACAATTTATTGGTGCATGCACTAAACCCCCCAATCTATGTATAGTCACAGGTATGAAACCGGAAAACTCTAGCACTGCGAGTTTTTGTTTGTTTATTTTGAGTGTTGTAATAACAAAATAACCTGGTATTCTTCTCTTCTCCAGAATATATGTCAGGTGGGAGTGTTTATGATTACCTGCATAAACATAAAGGTGTATTCAAGCTCCCTGCTTTACTTGGAGTTGTGATGGATGTTTCAAAAGGCATGAGCTACTTGCACCAAAACAATATTATTCATCGAGATTTGAAAACTGCTAATCTCCTTATGGATGAAAATGGGGTAAGTAATGTAGGGAAATTACTCCATAATACAAATGCTTCGTGTCCCTTATTTTATTTTTACTTTAGTGAATTTGTTGCCTATCAAATTCACTTCAACTGGTACTTCTCCAGCTACCTCGTTTGAAAATCTTGCGTCAAGCATTGGTATCCGACTTCTTGTTCTTCCTTAAAAAAAAGGAAAATGATGGAACAATGTTTTCAAGCAATATTCACATGAAAATTGAAGAGAAAAGTAGCCACGGTAAAGTAGTCACCTGTAATTCAGATTTCAGATTCTGTTAACTGGAATTTGGTTTTAACTACCCGAACTTTGCCATCACTGTTAAAAATCAACTCACGGTTTACAGGGGAATCATATCCTTGTGGTAACTTGGAAGTCCTTTATGATGAATTGTAGCGTTAATACAAACTTTTTTTTGGCTTTGAATGTGTGATTTATATAACAAAATCGGATAGGTTTATCTGAAACACTGGTTTTTTTCATCCTGCAGACAGTTAAGGTTGCTGATTTTGGTGTTGCACGTGTTAAAGCTCAATCTGGAGTAATGACTGCTGAAACAGGGACATATCGTTGGATGGCTCCAGAGGTGATTTACCCATTGACATAGTTTTAGTACTAACTGTCCTAGCATTATACTCTACAAACTACTGTTTATTATATTGTTTAGGTGGAACTTGGTTATTAATGTTATGCCCCAAAATATTTGTTTTCTGTTTTCTTTAGTGCTGTAAAATTTAAAATATACCTTCCAAATTGGATCATAAGTTTGCAATTGCTGTAAACCAGCTTCAGTTTACTATTCTGTTGTCAGATCGTATATCACATTATCATCGCACAAAATTTTACCTGTTGTAGGTTATAGAACACAAGCCCTATGATCACAAGGCCGATGTTTTTAGTTTTGGAATTTTGATGTGGGAGCTGCTCACAGGGAAGGTACTTTTGTTTGTCACTTGCTAATCCATTCATTCGTAACTCTGAATCAATTGTTTTGAGACTTGTTTATAATTGGTATAACAACCTATTGTGTGCAGATTCCTTATGAGTACCTGACACCATTACAAGCAGCTGTAGGTGTGGTTCAGAAGGTGAACATTGTTTTTCTTTCTACATGCTGTCGTCTTCTTTTATTTTGTTTAGAACTGGAACTTATCCTTCCAACCAAATAATTGCATGAGACTGATAATGGGTACACAAATATAAGGGATTTTGCCATGCACATATATTTTGGCCTAATGCACATGGATAACATGGATTGGTTTGAGTTATTTTTAGTCCAAGAAATCATGTAGTAGATGTTTGAGATATAAATAATTTAACAAACACAGCTTCAGAAAATTATGGAAAATGCACTAGTGAAAATTGCAAAATATCATTGGGGCTCTCTTTCTTCAGGGTTTTTGTTTACCTCTTTGACAGATAAAAGACATTCTAATATAGTGAAATACTAATATGAATATGCTCTTGGTTATGAAACCCTTTGTGAAAGTTCTTAACTAAGAATATTAATTATATATCCGTCTACAGCACGGAAACCCACTTCTAATATGGTAACCCTCATTTGCAGGGATTACGGCCTACAATACCAAAAAATGCTCATGCAAAACTTTCTGAGCTTCTTCAGAAATGTTGGCAACAGGAGCCTGCTGAAAGACCAGATTTCTCTGAAATATTAGAAACTCTTCAGAGAATAGCAGAGGAGGTTTGTGATTGAACTTAATGCATACTAACTTAAATGGTTGAAGGTTTATGTTCTTGTGAACCAATGTTGCAGGTTGGTGATGAGCATGATGGAAAGCACAAGGAGAAAATACTGGGCGGACTATTTTCAGCTTTGAGGGGGCGTGGGCACTAAATGGTGTGGGAATACATGTTTTCATTCCATATGGAAGGGCCTGAGAAAAAGATCAGCGTCAGTTCCTTGGCAGGTGCAGCGCCACATTGAGATTAGACTGCTGCAGTCGACTTAATGAGCAATTTTCAGATGCAAGTCCATCAAGGTGTTAACTGTTGTCATACTATTTTTTTGGTGTACAACTTCCGGGTTCCATTACAGCTGTAACATAGGAAGAGTTGTTGTGAAGTGTACATTATTGACCTGATTCTTCTACTGACGAGTTGTAACTTGTAGTTGAATAAGAAGCCAGATTTAGGGCGTGCATTATTCTCCCAGATCCTGTGGTTTAGCTATGCTTATCTATCTACTACCTACTGCTTACTTTTTGTCCTGAATTCTTTTTCGACAATATAATGTTCTGTGCCGTCCTGTTTCTTATGTCTATGTCAGGTTCTAAATAATTTTGTGTTCAAGAAGGATGTCTCAACACAATGATGCCCACATGCTCTGTCAATCATGGTGTGTAGGAGTGCGAACAAAAAATGCAGATAGCCTGCAAGTTGTGATCTGAAACAAGGCACTGCATGCTCAGCTTTGCTCGTGACAATGGTCGAGCAAAAGTTTCATGCCCTCTGGTGCCAAGATTTTTCCTCGCATTGCCGTGACGACAAAAGATTATTAGTGCGTTCTCTACTGACATGGCAACGTGGATCATTCCTACTGCCGTTCAGTGGCCCTCTGAGCTTATACGGGGTTGTACTGGTAGCAGCTTCTGATACTAAACTTGCATCGTTAGCATTGCTTTTTTGCTCTCGTAACTGTCTCTGCTTCCCCTTTGATGAGCAGAGCAAGGAATGAATAAAGTGGCAGTTCAGCTGCATATGACAGTGGAGCGCTTTTACCCTTCCCCTCCAGATGCATTTTTTTTATCACCTTCTACTCCATGGAGGCACTATGCTTGTTGAAGTGTGCAAGTTCTGCTTGAGCTACTCAACATAATTTAATGCACTAGTTCTATGTGCTATTAAGGGGGTGGAGAAAATGATTTGTGGGTGTTATATAACCTTGTCAAGGCCAAATAGCCAATTGCTCGGTTTCTAGTTTTTACCCAGATCTCTAACAAAATATGCGGTAATGGATTACCGGCAAATAATGAACCGAAAATTGTTATTACACAAGCAGTAACTTCTGTTTGCAGTCTTACAAGTAATGTAGCACTGCCAAATTAACATGCATGTTTACCAATGCCAAATTGCAGTTAGCTGCAAGGAATTCCATGTATGAGGCGTTTACAGAGCAGGAAAAAGGAAGCACATAATCCTCCGCATGTTGGATGCTCTGTATAGTTTGCTGTACAATTTTGTCTATAAATAGTTAGGTTCACTATGTTGAAAACATGCAATTCCTGGAATGCCTGCTAGAATTTTTTTTATTCAGAAGAGAGATCCATAGGTTGTAGGTCAACCAATCTCAGTAATCTGATTTTTGTTTACCATAGCCTTTTCTCTTTCCCCCCTTTATCTACTCTCTTTTTATTTAACCAGCCATTTTGGTCTCTTATACTTATTGCCCATCCTTAAGTTTTCTACTTTAGGCATCTTTTCTTTGCTTGGTCCAAGAGGAAGGGAACCTATTCTATTTGAGGGTGGAGTTAATACATTTGATTTCACATTGTTTCAGCATTGGCAGCATAGGCTCTTGCCCTCATGGCAGGGCTTGGCACCGGAGCGCCTATTGTGAAGGTGTATCATGAGAAATCTATGATCTTACCTGATGTTTCAAGGGTGCTCACATGCCTCTATGAGAAGGATGTCAAGTTTGAGCCTTGCACAACCTCTTACAAGAGCCTACTTAGACTCCAGGTACTCTCTAACTGTTGTAATTGTTCAGGCACCATATCAAGAGCTTATGCACTGTAAACTCATTATCATCCTCTCTTTCCCTGCGCTCTTCAGGCATCAACCCATGCTCCAGTTCCATTCTATGATGGACCTACATTTCTGGAAGGTAATATTTCAGATTTTTGAATAACGGTTACCATCCATGTTGGACGTACATTTCTGGAAGGTTACCTTTTCTATTGTTAACAGTTAAATATTAATAATCTAATTAGCTCGCAACAAGGCTAGTTAATCTTTTGGGCTGTTATTAGGAACACATATTACTAACATGCTAAAACCACATATTTGGTGGCAATTTTCTGTAGCGCTGTTTACAACCTACATAAAATTTTCTTGACTTTTAGAAAAAGAAATCTTTAGTAGTTCACTAGACCAACATCTTATTTCATTTGGACATGGTACTTAACGAGTATATGGCTACTTGGCTAGTGATGCCTGATTATCTTAATCGAGGCCCAACCATCTTGTTTGAAAGCACACATTCTGCCAGCAAATTAGTCCTCACACTATGCATTGAAACAACTACATATGATCTGAGGATTGATTCTGCTACAAAAGCGGACTCCAGAAATACTGCTTCCACAAAATGGTAGAACATAGAATTCACATGTTTACTCAGGAGGATCTATCAGTTAACACTAATTAAAACACGTAGTATGTTTTTTCTGTAGTAGTTTGTTCTTGAAAGATAGATAGCATAGATTTTTTCCGAATGCCCATTTTGTGTGTGGCTAATAGTAAGGTACTAAAGATCCACATTTGGATGAAAGCATGCCAGACCAGAAGTACTGATGTGCTTAGTTGTATATATGAACTTGATCACACAATCATGCATTGAAATTGAAACAAAACATGTGCCTGCAATCAAGTACTAGTAGATAACTATGTAAGATGTGATGGGTAAATTAAGTAAACTTTAGATGATATCATTTCCTTCTCACACAGTTCACGTGAGTTATTTTTACTGATTTAAGGACAATAACGAATCTTATTTAGTGTATTTGTAGGCAGACTTGCAATACAGTACAGGCTGAATAAACCTAATTAGGCATTACAGTATTACACTGGTCCAGACTATCATATTTTCAAAAACAATATCCAATCCCGAAAGATAATGCAAGCTGCAAACTTCTACAAGTATGGACCATTGTAGGGGCAGTTAAATTGAACTGCACCCCCACATTGAGTTGACAATTCTTGAGGATCCATAATTGTTAATGCACATTGTGAAACAATGATTTACCAGTGTTGATTCAAATATAACTCAAACTGCTTTTTGGCACTAGCACTTTATCTGAAATTTCTTTTCATTCCATTCTCTAAGTTATATTCTTTTGTTATGTGACATTACTACTGAAAACAGGCCTTTCAAAACAATACGGTTAATCATCCAGTCCAAATTGATTATCATTTTTCTTATTTCAGAATCCAGAGAAATCTGCCGCTACATTGCAGAAACTTATGAACATCATGGGTATCCATTTCTCCTTGGGAAGGATGCCCTCGAGAGGGCTTCCATCGAGCAATGGCTCCACCATGAGGAGCATGCTTTCAACCCTCCAAGCCGAGCCTTATTCTGCCACCTGGCCTTTCCCTTGGATCAAGAAGATGATCTAGAGATGCAGAAGGCAAAGCTGGATGAGGTTCTGGAAGTTTATGAGCAAAGGCTCAGTGATAGTGAATTCCTTGCCGGCAATAAATTTACTCTTGCAGACCTCGTACACCTGCCAAACTCCCACTACATCAAAGCATCTGGCAAGTTTGCCTACCTCTATGACTCAAGGAAGAATGTGCAGAGGTGGTGGAATGCTATTTCTACCCGGCATTCTTGGGATCAGGTACTGAGTTATATGACAAAGGTGGAGCAGGACAACAAATTAGAGGAACTTGAGAAACAGAAGCAGCAGGAGTGGCAGAGAGAGTATCATACAGCCACTGGACGCAGAACTCGACTGTACTCACGGAAGCATACCCGCACAAAGTCTCAGACAATATTGGTTCCTCCTCCTGATACTGTCTCAGCGTCTCCCACGGCTCCTCAGGGAGAGCAGCCTCCTCCTGCTGATTCTTTATCTGAGAAGGCATCAGTATTCTCAAGCCAAAGTACTACTCATAAATCTATAGCTTCCCCAAGCAAAAAAAATACCTCATCTACCCCAAGCTTGGGTAACTTCCCTAGCACAGCTGATAAACCTCCAAGAATTCATGCTGATATGTCTAGCATTAGAGATGTCTCAGTCCCCCCTGACACCACTGAGACAGAGCACCCCACTAGATCCATGCTAAGTTCATCCAAGGAAGTAGGAACCTATATTGAACCTACCCCACAAAAGCCTCCAGCATCGCTGGATAATTTCTCTGAATCTGATGGGCCTATCAGTGGTGCTAGTCATTCTCAAATCAGTCCAAGAACAGCCAAAGAAGATTCTGACCGACTCCATGCATCTGATTTGTATAGAAGTGACAGAAAATCTACTGGTCACAGTTATGAAGCTACTTATGGCAAATCTCCCACCCGGGGAGCTACAGACAGTTCTCCCAACAAGCTCCACTCTACTGAAGCACACCAGATGCTGCAGGCTGAGAAGTGGCACGCTGTTCAAGCTGGATTGCGCAATCTACAGGGAGATATTGATAATTCAGTGCCTAGTCGACAAGTAAAACCAAGCAAAGAAGTGCAACAGTATCCATCACAAGATTCAGAGCAAGTAAGCATCCGTCCTGTTGCTCAAGAACCATTGAGTATGGACGGCCAACTGGTTCAAGGGCCAGAAGGTACAGCTCAAACACCCCATACTGATCAGACAATGGGTGTTTCTTCTCCGCATTGGCAACATGCTGCTGATGCTAGAAGAATTTCTGAGGATGAGGCATCATCTGATCGAAGGATAAAAGGTGCTCATTGGTCAAAGCATGCAGCAGATGAAGATGCCCAAGCTATACCATTCCAAACAGCACGCGATGATTCTCAAGATACCACCCAGAGAGCAAGAGAAACTGATTCTGTGACAAGGAGTACAAGGGATCAAGATGCACATGATAGCAGACAAGGAATAATGACTTATGACTCTGCACCATCTAGATTGCAACCTATGGATGCTTCACACGATGCTCCTCTGCCATCAAAGAAATCAACATCTCAAACTCCTTACACAGCCGCACATATTCCTACAGGGTACCAAGGTGCTCAAGAGTTCATCCAGCAAGGTAGGGAGAGACCTAAACCAAGGTCAGTAGTGCCTTATGATGCCCAAGGCAGCACTGAAGAAGAAAAAATGGCTGAATCTCCACCATCCAAAGCACAAATATTGGGTTCTCGTGGACTCGATGTTTCTCCACCAAAAGAAGTGTTGAATGAAGATGGTTATGGTGCAACTGGTCCATTGCAAACAAGATATGGAGATGATCAAGATGATTGGATTCAAGCTAGAGATAGCACCACTCCAAGGCATATGAATCAAGATGCCATTGAAGAAACAGAGATGGCTGATTCTGAACCATCCAAAGCACGAACATTAGATTCTCAACAAGCTTTTCCACAAAAGCAACCACCAGCTGAAGATCTACGATTTGCTGCTTCAACATCCAATAGAAGATATTTTGATGATCAAGATAGCACCAAGAAATCTAAACACACTGCTTCAATTCCAAGGCGAATGGAGGCTCAAGGCAGCTTAGAAGAAACTAAGGCTGGCGAATCTGGATTGCCTAGAGAACAACCATTTTTGCAAGCACAAGCTAAAGATGCTCGCAGCCTGACTCCACCATCACAAGAGGGATATGCAGGCCCTCAAGCTGTTAGCAAGCAACGTGGAGACCCTGGTTCTATATCAAGGCGAATAAGAGCCCAAGATGCTAGAGTCACATTTGTAGAATCAAAAGCTGATGATTCCACATTTACCAGAGAGCAGCCTTCGGATGCTTGGCAAGCTACGGGTCCTCTCCCAGAGCACAAAGTATATGATGCTCAAAGCTCAACCTCACCATTTCAGGACGCCACCATGAAATCAGAAGACACCACTCCACAACAGAGGAGAGGTCAAGGTGCCAAAGAAACGAAGTTGTCTGATTCTGCATCGCTACAAGTTCAGCCCTCGGATTATCAGAGAAGTGATTCTCATTTTCAAAATCAAGAAGAAATTGAAGATCCACATGGTGCAATTTCACCACACAAGAGAAGCTACACTGATGTTGAAGATATGACCAAACATCCTGGAGACAAAATACTGGGTGAGGATGCTCAAGATGTCTCTGAAGAAACAAAGGCTCTTGACTCTACAATAGTTAGAGGCAGAGCACATCCCCAGGATACTCATCAAGCTGCAATTCCTCCACGAAGGCAAGCAGCAACCAAAGATGCTCTGGGTGTGACTCCACATTTCCCAACAAGATACCCAACTGCAGAAGACACCAGCAGGCAACTCAGAAGAACTGCTTCTACACCAACAGAGAAAGCTGTTCAAGATGGTAGAGATGCCTTCAGAGAATGGAAGAGTGTTGATTCCACATCATCCAGAGAACAACCTTCAGATGTTCAGCGAGCTGAGGCTTCCTTCCCAAAGCAAGAAGAAGCTGATTCTCATAGCACAACTGTGCCATTCCAAAGGAGGTACCCCGATATTGAAGACACAACCAAAGAACCAATCGATAAGCCAAAGGAAATGGTGGGCGAGGATGCTCAAGCTGGCTTTGAAGAAACAAAGGCTCTTGACGCTGCGACAGAACCCCGAGATACTCCGCGAGCTGCAATTACTCCATCGAAGCAAGTAATAGCGAAGGATGCTCTCAGTGTGACTCCACTTCCCCCAACAAGATATCCAACAGCAGAAGACACCAGCAGGCAGCCCAAAAGAACTGGTTCTACACCAACAGAGAAAGCAGTTCAAGATGGTAGAGATGCCTTTAGAGAATCTAAGAGTGTTGATTCCACATCATCGACACAACAACCTTCAGGTTATCGGCGAGCTGCTGCTTCCCTCCCAAAGCAAGAAGCAGCTGATTCTCGTAGCACACCTTTGCCCTTCCAAAGGAGGTACCCTGATGTGGAACACACCACCAAAGAACCAAGAGATAAGCCAAAAGAATCAGTGGGCGAGGATGCCCAAGATGGCTTTGATGAAACAAAGGCTCTTGACTCTGCTATAATTAGAGGCAGAGCCCAACCACAAGAGACTCCAAGAGCTGCGATTACTCCATCGAAGCAGGAAGCAGCCAAAGATGCTCTCAGTGGGACTCCACTTTCCCCAACAAGATATCAAACTGCAGAGGAAACGGTGGGTGAGGATAGTCAAGATGGCTTTGAAGAAACAAAAGCTTTTGACTCTGCTATATTTAGAGGCAGAGCACAACCGCAAGATACTCGTCGATCTGCAATTACTCCACCAAAGCTGGAAGAGGCCAAAGATGCTCTAGGTGCAACTCCACATCCCCCAACAAGATATCCAACTGCAGAGGACACCAGCAGGCAACCCACAAGAACTGCTTCTACACCAATAGAGAAAGCAGTTCCAGATGGTAGAGATGCCTTCAGAGAATTGAAGATTGTTGATTCCACATCATCCAGAGAGCAACCTTCTGATGTTCGGCGAGCTGCTGCTTCCCTTCGAAAGCAAGAAGCAGCTGACTCTCATAGCACAACTGTGCCATTCCAAAGGAGGTATCCTGATATTGAAGACACCACCAAAGAACCAAGAGATAAGCCGAAGGAAAAGGTGAGTGAGGAGGCTCAAGATGGCTTTGAAGAAACAAAGGATCTTGACTCTTCGATACTTAGAGGCAGAGCACAATCCCAAGGTACTCAGCGAGCTGCAATTACTCCACCGAAGCTGGATGCAGCCAAAGATGCTCCCGGTGCGACTCCACTTCCCCCAACAAGATATCCAACTGGAGAAGATGCCAGCAGGCAACCTAGAAGAACTGCTTCTACACCAACCGAGAAAGCAGTTCGCGGTGGCAGAGATGACTTTACAGAATCTAAGAGTGTTGATTCCACACCATCCAGAGAGCAACCTTCAGATGTTCGGCGAGCTGCTGCTTCCCTCCCAAAGCAAGAAGCAGCTGATTCTCGTAGCACACCTTTGCCATTCCAAAGGAGGTACCCTGATGTGGAACACACCACCAAAGAACCAAGAGATAAGCCAAAGGAATCGGTGGGCGAGGATGCCCAAGATAGCTTTGAAGAAACAAAGGCTCTTGACTCTTCGATGTTTAGAGGCAGAGCACAACCGCAAGATACTCGTCCATCTGCAATTACTCCATCAAAGCTGGAAGATGTCAGAGATGCTCTAGGTGCAACCCCACTTCCCCCGAGAAGATATCCAACTGCAGAGGACACCAGCAGGCAACCCACAAGAACTGCTTCTACACCAATAGAGAAAGCAGTTCCAGATGGTAGAGATGCCATCAGAGAATTGAAGATTGTTGATTCCACATCATCCAGAGAGCAACCTTCAGATGTTCGGCGAGCTCCTGCTTCCCTTCCAAAGCAAGAAGCAGCTGATTCTTATAGCACAACAGTGCCATTCCAAAGGAGCTATCCTGATAATGAAGACACCAAAGAACCAAGAGATAAGCCAAAGGAAAAGGTGAGCGGGGAGGCTCAAGATGGCTTTGATGAAACAAAGGCTCTTGACTCTTCGATACTTAGAGGCAGAGCACAACCCCAAGATACTCAGCGAGCTGCAATTACTCCACCGAAGCTGGATGCAGCCAAAGATGCTCCCGGTGCGACTCCACTTCCCCCAACAAGATATCCAACTGGAGAAGATGCCAGCAGGCAACCTAGAAGAACTGCTTCTACACCAACCGAGAAAGCAGTTCGCGGTGGCAGAGATGACTCTACAGAATCTAGGAGTGTTGATTCCACACCATCCAGAGAGCAACCTTCAGATGTTCGGCGAGCTGCTGCTTCCCTCCCAAAGCAAGAAGCAGCTGATTCTCGTAGCACACCTTTGCCATTCCAAAGGAGGTACCCTGATACTAGAGACACCACAAAAGAATCAAGAGATAAGCTAAAGGAAGCGGTGGGCGAGGATGGTCAAGATGGCTTTGAAGAAACAAAAGCTCTTGACTCTGCTATAATTGGAGGCAGAGCCCAACCACAAGAGACTCCAAGAGCTGCGGTTACTCCATCAAAGCTGGAAGGAGCCAAAGATGCTCTAGGTGTGACTCCAATTGCCCCAACAAGGTATCCAACTGCAGAAGACACGAGCAAGCAATCCACAAGAACTGCTTCTACACCTTCAGAGAAAGCAGTTCCATATGGTAGAGATGCCTTCATAGAATCGAAGAGTGTTGATTCCACATCATCCAGAGAGCAACCTTCAGATGTTCGGCGAGCTGCTGCTTCCCTGCCAAAGCAAGAAGCTGCTGATTCTCGTAGCACAACTATGCCATTCCAAAGGAGGTACCGTGATATTGAAGACACCACCAAAGAACCAAGAGAACCAAGAGATAAGCCAAAGGAAACAGTGGGTCAAGATGTCCAAGACACCTATGAAGAAAGAGTAACTACTGACTCTGTGCTGTTTACCAAACAACCTTCTGATATGCCCCGAGCTGCAATCACTCCATCAAAGAAAGCAGCAAATGATGATGCTCCTAGTGTGTCTCCACCTTTGCCTACAAGATATCCAAGTGCTGAAGACACCAGCAAGCAATCTATAAGACCTCAAGATAGTAGGGATGTCTTTAGAGAACAAAAGGCTGTTGACTCCACATCATCCCCTGGACCCTCAGATTCTCTCAGGGCTTCTGCTTCCCTCCCAAACCAAGAAGTAGATGGTACTCGCAGAACTACTGTACCATTTCAAAAGAGAGAGCCTGAACTTCAAAACAGCACAAAGCCTGTTAACGACAGCATTTCTACGTCATGGGAAATGACAGCTCAAGATACTCAAGACACCTTTGAAGAAACAAAGGTTCCTGATTCTGCAGCATTCAGTATGCCTGAAGTGGATTCTCAGAGAACTGATGCAGAGGCTCAAGCAGAAGCTCAAGATACTCGGGATGGAGGCAGCCGAAGCAGATGGTGGCATGCATCTAAGACATTACCAGATGGAACTCCTATTTCTGGCGATGATGTGACTGGATTGTCTCCTGGTGATCAAATGCCAACACGGATGGATCAAGATGCAATTCCAAGCACTCAGATTGCCAATGGGATCACCGAAAGATCTATTAAGCAAACTGCTGAACCACCTGCACCAGTAGCACCACAAACAATTTTTCATCAGCAAGCCAGACCATCTGCACCAATCACAAAAGAAGTTCAAGCCTCAGATAACCAAGGTGCCATAAGCAAAATCCAGCAAGTTTCTCCTGATAATCATCCAACTGATTATTCAGCCGTACCACGTGTTGCAGCTCAAGAACAAGTTTCCCACGCACCACAGACAAGTCCTGGTCGAGAAGGCATAACGCCTGCGCAAAGAGAAATGGATTCTCCAATTTCAGATGCCCTACCTGCTTCAGCAAAAGTTCAAGAACCTGCCCCTGACAAGTCAACAATGCCATTTGTCTCGAGTGTAAAACAAGGTTCTCATGTTGGACATGATGTTGAACCACATGAAGGGCCACTACCCGATACTTATGGTGCTGTAGTTGACAAAGAGACAACTAAATCTCTATCTTGGCAAGATCGGAGTTTGGAAGCTAGTCCTGATTCAACACCAACCCATGGCTATGTTCATCCTACAAGCAGGGATGAACCTGCCATTTTACCTGGTCAGGGGGCACCCCAAGAACCAACACATCCTGATGCTCTAGATTCTGCATCCACCCGAGACGTAACTGCTGATTCCTTGGTTGGTCCTAAGAAATTCAAGCAACGTTCAACTGATCAAGAGGACATTTCATTTGCATCTAACCAAACATCAGGTATGGGCGCTCAACCTTATTCTTCACTGGATAAAGTAGCCCGTGCTGAACAGAAATCTGACCTGTCAGGTAATTGATCTCTATTTCATGTGGAAAATCAATGACAAACTTAGAAACTTCCTCAAAACGCTAACACTGGCATTGCTTCTTTCATTTCAGATCAAGATCCAAGTCATTCTGCACAAGAGACTGTTCTTGCTGCTGCCGAACGGACCAAGGCACTGCCAAAACCCATTGATCAACAAGAGACACCGGACAGTAGAAAGCCTCCAACACCAGATACCCAATATGCTTCGCAGATAATCCCAAGTCAGGAGAAAGTTGCTCCTGATGTTCCAAGCCAAGAGAAAGTTTCCCAGGCTGAACTGTCTTTGAAACCACATGAAGGATCAACTCCTCATATGCATGGCAGCATTGTTGATGAAAAGAAAACTAGACCTTTGGCTAGCCCAACTAAAAGTTCAAATGATGTGCTTGATCTGACACCAGCAGGTGCTGATGTTCATCCTACAAGTAGCACTGAGCCTCCCAGAAGTGCTTTACCAGTTCAAGCACAAACACCATCTGCTACCCAAACACCTCCACCTTTTGCATCTCACAAATCTGTGCGTACTGAAGATATACGTGCTGACGCCAATGGCAAAGTTAAATCCGTGAAGCCATCAGCATCTCCAGATGCTCCACATGCTACCGCACCTGGTGAAGTAGCTCTTTCTGAACAGAAATTAGCTTCAGCAGGTAATTAATTATCTTAACATCTTATTGTAGCCATTTAGCACACAATCTACATGTGTACAGATTAGTTGCATATAAGCTTCCCTCAAATGTTGAAAAACTCCTGAAGAAGTTATGATGTTGCTGATGTTGGCTCTTCCATTACAGGTCGAGATTCGTCTCGTGCTGCACAATTGCCTTCATCTGATGAGCCAAGGAATGAACAGATTAAGGATTCAGATCACACTGCACAGCCATTTTCGTCTGCTGCACCTGATCAAGCCAAAGACTTGCAAAGAACTTTTGGTCAACCAGACATTTCACGTGCACCAGGAACATCAGAATCTCCATATTCAGATGTATATGATGGTGCAAGGAAAGTTGATCCTGATTATCAACTCATTGACAAAACAATTCCAAGCCAAGAACAAGTCTCTCATCCAGATCTTGCTTCCAAAACAAATGAAGGACCAACAGGTGATGTACATAGCACCATTATTGATGGAAAACTAATGATACCTCCATCTAGCTAAGCTCAAAATTTTGGATTCAATGAATGATCTCTTACCAAACCATATGACTAATCATTTACTAGATATTTAACTGATCAAGTAGCACAACAACATGCAGAAACTCCTGGACCAGCCCCTCTCATGGATGTATATGACTCCATATCCACCCAATATATACAGGACGGTGACTTAGACAAAGGTAGGCCATCCTCTACAGATAGAGAAGCCAAGATGCCTAGAATGCGTTCAGCATCAGCTCTTCATGATCAATATGATAGCACACCAGATAACATAGAATCTGCCAAACAGAAAATAACCTTGAAATGTAATGGAATCTTTACGGAGGAAGCACAGTACAATATCTAAAGTCTATAGCTGATTTAACACAATATTAACTACCTGAAATCAACATTTTATGATACTAAACAGAAGACCTTTTCTTGCATTTCAGATCAAGATTCTGCTAATTTTGCACAGAAGTATTCGTCAAGTGAGCCAAAAGAAGAAGAGAGTACTGTTGCTGCACCTGATCAAACCAAGGAAATACAAACAACAGTTGGTCAACAGGACATATTGCCTGCTGTAAGCAAAGAAAAAGATCCATCTTCCGGCGTCCAATATGATTCTATGGAAGTTCAGGAAGTCGCTCCGAAGGATCAACACATCGATGGGTCAATTCCAAGCCATGAACAAGCTCCTAATGTTGAAGAACCCATGACACATATAACAGGCCCAACATCAGCCCTAGACACTCAACATGGTATGACATCTGGTAAAGTATTTCTTTTCTTCTTTGAGGAAGATGGAAGACCCCCAATTTCCATTAAGGAAAACAAACACAGAGTTTTACAGAATTCTAGACATCACCAGCTAAAGCACCACAGCTACCCCAGTGTAGCATCCCAGAATGCCATCCCATTCTGTATAGCCTCAAAACCACCACCTAGCAGGGTTTTTTTTTTTTAAGGCCAATCCGCCTTTTCCTTTTCTATTATCAGAAAAGCAAGTAGCTACAAGGTCTCTTACAGCAGAACACAGAAGCTGGGAAAGTAAACAAAAAGTTTTTTTCACTTAACTTTTTTGGCAATGCCATCCAATTGCCAAAGAAAGAGAAGCAAAGCTAAATTAGGAGAAGACCTAAAGACTACTAAAGCTAGTATACTATGATAGACTGATTCTCCCAAGTGTTCAACATTCGACAAAATGACAGAATAGCAGCCTTCCTCAGCAAACTGTCAGCATTGGCCACCAGATGTCAAAATAAGCGAGTATCAGGAACCACACCACCAGAAGCATCAGGGCTTGATCATTCTCTCCTCTCCAGCTTCCTGCTCACTTTTGCTTTCCCACTCCAGCCTGCCTCCATCAACCCTCCAACCATGTCTAGAGGTGTAGAGATATCATTGTAGCACCCCCTAGCAGTAGCAGGTAGCCAACTAAAAATCGAACATGATAGATTTTGTACATAATTGACCAACGGCTGTCCAGTTTCAGCTCGATCATCTTCCCCTCAGAATTCCTTCATCCTTGCAGACGCTCCATCCTTGACCTCCATCCATGATCGGCGTTGAAGATATCACTTGCCACTTGGCTGAGCAACTTGGCGCCCCATAGCCCAGGACGAGATCTGGTAACACAAGGAGTGAATTAACTCTGTGGGATCTTTTGGCGTTTTTTGTTTTTTGGAACACAAAGCATTTCTGGCTTTCCTATTGAATTTGTTTAGCCAATCCCCAAACAAATGATAGATGCTCAAAACAAGGAGTGAAGTATCTTATGGTGAACAGAATGATAAAATAACTGAATACTGGCTACTAGCCTTATAAATCTCATAATATCAATAGTCCTGTCAGTACGAAGGTTCTTTCTTGTATTTCAGATCAAGACTAAGTCTCTATCTTGTATTTCAGATCAAGACTCGTACCAGTACCCAGAACTACCTTCCTCTGCTAAATCAAGGAAAGAGACAGATGTTGCTGAAGCTGATAAAACCAAGGCAAAACAAATGACCTTTGGTCAGCCTGTACCAGTCCCAAGTGACGCTACAAGATCTGTAACTGATCAAGGGGCACAGCAACCGCAGCGACCTGCAAAAATTGAGTCACCACCATTTTTGGAGACAATAAAGAACTACGAGTACACCCAAAATGTATCTGATGAGACCTTGGACAAAAACAAGTCATCCGGAAAACCCTCTGCTGATCAAGAAGTTATGTCACCTAAAGTAGTCCCAGCAACATTTCTAGACCCTCAACGTGTTACTGTCCCAGATGATGAGCAAAAAATTGCTAAGCCAGGTAACAAATTTCTTTCTTTGTCTGTGTGTAGTATGGATAAATGCCATGTAGTCTAGCAAAGGATAGTTACTGGTTGTAATCATAACAAACACCCTTTAAATTTGCTATACGCCAGCAATAACATTGTTTCTTGCATTATTTATGAAGATTTAACTCGTTCTGCACAACCTCCTTTCTCTGCTGAGCCAACAAAAAGAAAGACTGTTGTTGGTGCATCTGATCAAGCCAAGGCTTCAGAAACAATTGTTGATCGAGAAGGTATGATGACTGCCCCATACAGAGAAAAATCTCTTTGTCCAGATACCCAGCATGCTTTAAGGAATGTTTTGGAAATGTCTCCTAGTGATAATCTTACTGATAATCCATTTGCAGGCCAAGAACATGGTTCTTTTAGTGAGGGGTCAACTACTGACTCACGTGATGCCATTACTGATGAGAGCGCAACCACATCTACATCTGGTAGCGAAAAAGTCTTGGATGCTTCTATTTTGACAGCAACTCATGATGATGCTCATCCGCCAACTGTAAGAAATTTGCCTGAGCATGAGACACAGGCACCTGCATCAACTCAAAGTGCATCTGTCGAGGCCTCAGACAAAGCTAAATCAACTGATCAAGAAGACATGAAACCTATGGCAAGCCAGGCATCAATTCTGGACACTCAACGTGGTACCAATGGTGATAAGCCTATAGCAAGATTTTTGCATGATCAAGGGGCACAGTCACCTGAATTAACTCATCCACAGCAGCCTCCTGAATCTCCACCTCACTCTGCATCACAACATGATGCGCCCACTGATGTGTTGGACAAAACCAAAATGACTAAACTGACCTCAACTAACCAAGAAGGCATGGCACCCACTGCTGGTTCAAGATCAACTTTGGAATCCCAACCTGATGGTACCTTCGCAGCTGAAGTAGTCCATGACGAGCAGAAATCCACTCTGTCAGGTAACCAGTTTCTCTTTAGTATTGACAAAAGAAATTTTTTGATTTTAACAACTTGCTCAAAACTAACAGTTTGCTTAATGTGTTTCAGATCAAGAGTCAGCTCGTGCCACACAGCCCCTTTCATCTGTTGAACGAAGCAAAGAAGATACTAATGTTTCTGCAGCTGATCAACCCGAGGTTCCACAAACAATTTTTCATCAAAAAGCCAGATCATCTGTACCAGTCACTAGAGAAGTACAATTCCCGGATAGTCTAGGTGCCATAAGCAAAATCCAGGAAGTCTCTCCTGATAATCAATCAACTGATTATTCAGCAGTACAACCTGTTCCAACTAAAGAACAAGTACTCCATGCACCACAGACAAGTCCTGACCAAGAAGGCATAACACCTGCACAAGGAGAAAAGGATTCTCCTATCCCAGATGCCCAACTTGTTCCACATGCTCTACAAGGTACTTCACCATTTAAATTAATCCTTGGTGAATAGAAATTCACTCTGCTAGGTACTTGCTTGTATGGGTATCTAATGTTCCTTTTCTGAAACCATATTTGAACATGCCCAAGGCTAATATTACAATTATTAAAATTTCTCAAAGCTAGATATTTTTCTTTTGACTAGTGATCAAAACTAAAGATTTTGCCACAACTAAGTCCATCTGTTGCCTTGCAGACAAAGGTTCACCTCGCTCTACACAACCGCCTCCCCCTATTGAATCAAGTGAAAAGGAGTCTCAAATTGCTGAAGATGGTCAAACCGTTTTACTACAATCATCCGTTGTTCAAGAATCCACACCATCTTTAGCAGGCCCTAGAGAATCATCAAGTTCGGATTCTCCGTATCCATCAGCGGAAAATCAAGTATCAACCCCTAAGGAGGTGGAACCACTTCCTCCTACGACAGGTAATATCATGTTGAGTTCATCACTATATTCACCTTTTTATTTTAGCTAATCAACTTGAGGGTGGAAGCCCTTGGAAATTCAAATATTAGGTTGATCACATAGGTAATCGTACATAGAGGTCGTTCACTTTGTACCCCCCCCCCCCCCACTAGTTCCTCGTTACAAAAGCCTTGTATAGTTTTATTATGCATGCAATTTATTTTTTGGACAATCTTCTCATACTTACACCACTCACGAATCTGAAACCACTATCATCCAATTACAGGTATGATGGATCGCGTCCAGCCTTCTTCGGAAGCAACACCTGGAGTAGTCGCTGGCATCTCAGCGACACCTGGTGACAACCAACCGTCACCAGACAGGGAAAGCGTGGAAGTAGCTGAAGAAGGCACGGACCAACAAAAGGCTGACCAAGCTAGTGTGCAATCACCACAGGACAACATGGGCCAAGTTAAAGAAACCGAGGAGCAGGACACTGGAACAGGTGAGACTTACCAAGCTACTGTGCAATCACCACAGGACATCAAGGAGCAACGCGACGAAACAGAGCAGCAGGACACTAGGACTGGTGAGGCTTACCAAGATGCACCAGCCCCAGATGCTCCACAAGGTACTGCACCATTTGAATTAATCCTTTGTGAACATAAATCCACTCTGCTAGGTACTTGCCTGTATGGGTCTCTAATGCACATTTTCTGAAACCATGTTAGAACATGCCCACTGCTGATGTTAGAATTATTAGAGTTTCTCAGAGCTAGATATTTTCTTATGACAAGTGACCAGTGAAAGATTCTGCCAAAGCTAAGTCAATCTGTTGCGTTGCAGACAAAGGTTCACCTCGCTCTACACAACCGCCTCCCCCTGTTGAATCCAGTCAAAAAGAGTCTAAAATTGCCGAAGATAGTCAAACCCTTTTACCGCAAGCATCCGCTGTTCAAGAATCCACACCATCTTCAGCAGGCCCTAGAGAGTTCACACCATATCCATCAGTGGAAGATCAAGGATCAGCCCCTAAGGCGGAGGAACCGCTTCCTCCTACGACAGGTAATACGATGTTGAGTTTGTCACTGTATACATATTTTTATTTTAGCTAATCAACTTGGAAGTGGAAGCCCTTGGAAATTCAAATATCAGGTTGATCTCGTAGGTAATCGTACATAGCGGTCGTTCACTTTGAACCCCCCCCCCCCAACTAGTTCCTCGTTACAAAAGCCTTGTATAGTTTTATTATGCATGCAATTTATTTTTTGGACAATCTTCTCATACTTACACCACTCACGAATCTGAAACCGCTGTCATACAATTACAGGTATGATGGATCGCGTCCAGCCTTCTTCGGAAGCAACACCTGGAGTAGTCGCTGGCATCTCAGCGACACCTGGTGATAACCAACCGTCACCAGCCAGGGAAAGCGCGGAAGTAGCTAAAGAAGGCACGGGCCAACAAAAGGCTGACCAAGCTAGTGTGCAATCACCACAGGACAACATGGGCCAAGTTAAAGAAACCGAGGAGCAGGATACTGGAACAGGTGAGACTTACCAAGCTTCTGTGCAATCACCACAGGACATCAAGGAGCAACGCGACGAAACAGAGCAGCAGGACACTAGGACTGGTGAGGCTTACCAAGATGCACCAGCCCCAGATGCTCCACAAGGTACTGCACCATTTGAATTAATCCTTTGTGAACATAAATCCACTCTGCTAGGTAGTTGCCTGTATGGGTCTCTAATGTACATTTTCTGAAACCATGTTAGAACATGCCCACTGCTGATGTTAGAATTATTAGAGTTTCTCAGAGCTAGATATTTTCTTATGACAAGTGACCAGTGAAAGATTCTGCCAAAGCTAAGTCAATCTGTTGCGTTGCAGACAAAGGTTCACCTCGCTCTACACAACCGCCTCCCCCTGTTGAATCCAGTCAAAAAGAGTCTAAAATTGCCGAAGATAGTCAAACCCTTTTACCGCAAGCATCCGCTGTTCAAGAATCCACACCATCTTCAGCAGGCCCTAGAGAGTCCACACCATATCCTTCAGTGGAAGATCAAGGATCAGCCCCTAAGGCGGAGGAACCGCTTCCTCCTACGACAGGTAATACGATGTTGAGTTTGTCACTGTATACATATTTTTATTTTAGCTAATCAACTTGGAAGTGGAAGCCCTTGGAAATTCAAATATCAGGTTGATCTCGTAGGTAATCGTACATAGCGGTCGTTCACTTTGAACCCCCCCCCCCCAACTAGTTCCTCGTTACAAAAGCCTTGTATAGTTTTATTATGCATGCAATTTATTTTTTGGACAATCTTCTCATACTTACACCACTCACGAATCTGAAACCGCTGTCATACAATTACAGGTATGATGGATCGCGTCCAGCCTTCTTCGGAAGCAACACCTGGAGTAGTCGCTGGCATCTCAGCGACACCTGGTGATAACCAACCGTCACCAGCCAGGGAAAGCGCGGAAGTAGCTAAAGAAGGCACGGACCAACAAAAGGCTGACCAAGCTAGTGTGCAATCACCACAGGACAACATGGACCAAGTTAAAGAAACCGAGGAGCAGGACACTGGAACAGGTGAGACTTACCAAGCTTCTGTGCAATCACCACAGGACATCAAGGAGCAACGTGACGAAACAGAGCAGCAGGACACTAGGACTGGTGAGGCTTACCAAGATGCACCAGCCCCAGATGCTCCACAAGGTACTGCACCATTTGAATTAATCCTTTGTGAACATAAATCCACTCTGCTAGGTACTTGCCTGTATGGGTCTCTAATGCACATTTTCTGAAACCATGTTAGAACATGCCCACTGCTGATGTTAGAATTATTAGAATTTCTCAGAGTTAGATATTTTCTTATGACAAGTGACCAGTGATAAAGATTCTGCCAAAGCTAAGTCAATCTGTTGTGTTGCAGACAAAGGTTTACCTCGCTCTACACAACCGCCTCCCCCTATTGAATCCAGTCAAAAGGAGTCCGAAATTGCCGAAGATAGTCAAACCCTTTTACCGCAAGCATCCGCTGTTCAAGAATCCACACCATCTTCAGCAAGCCCTAGAGACTCATTAAGTTTGGATTCTTCGTATTCTTTGATGGAAAATCGAGGATCTGTTCCTAACGTGGGAAAACCGCTTCCTCCTTCGACAGGTAATATAATGTTGAGTTCATCACTATGTGCATATTTTATTTTAGATTATCGACCCTAAGGAGCCCTTAAAAGTTGAAATATCAGGTTGATCACAGAGGAAATTTGCTAGTTCATCATAATAATAACCTTGTGTAGTTCTATTATGCATGCAATTTAATGCTGCTTTCAATAGAAGCAGGGCCTTCTGGCCTCCTCTCTAAAATCATGCATGCAATTTAATTTTAGGACAAGCTTCTCAAACTTACACCACTCGTTAATCTGAAACAACTATCCTTCAATTACAGATATGATGGATCGTGTTCAGCCTTCATTGGGACCTTCTCTTGAGGTTTCAAGCGACGAGAAAACCACTGTCCCTCTGGATGGTCTGGCGAACAACCTATCAAATGTCAGTCCCTCTGTCACAGCTAGCCAAGTACTTGGTCGATCTGAAAATGGTTCTGGTACTGGAGCGCTCTCTGGAGAAACGGTACCATCAAATTCTCAAGAAAATTCTGAAGGGACGCCAAGCGAAGAAATATCAAAGCAGCAACCGCAAACTAACATGTCCAGTACAAAATTATCTAAAGATGACAATAAAGAAGCCGATGGCTCAGCCAATGACACCAAACCTGGAGACAGTGAAGATAATCCATCTCGATGAATTTTGCAACCCGTCAACCTACCCAAGATTCTGGAGTGCACTATTAAATAAATATTTATCAAGTAAGGAGAAGCCGTTGCACATTTACCTTGTTTTTTTTTCATATAATAAGGACATCCCCTTGTCATACTTGGATGATGCCACTGCCATTCTGAACTATGATTCTTTTTGTTTAACCAAGTGATTTGCTTGATTGTAAACGTATTTACATTTTATCTGGGTGTTTATGTTAATGATGAAGCTGCAACAACGTTCATTTTATTTTATTTCCTCCGTTGTGGCAACCCATATTGTGCATTCAATTTTACTCTCTGTTGCTACTAATATTAAGTAGCTGCTAACACGAAGTGCACTATGGTCATCTGTTTGAAGTTGTTAACTCCTAGTTGCTTATGGACATGTCTGATACTCTAATCACCAAGTGATATTGGATTAACATTAAAGTAGCATGTAGGCCTCCAACAGTTCTCATGTCCAAACTAAGTTTCAATTTAAACAAAAAAAAATTAAGAATGTAGAGTGTCCATTTGAGAATCGGGCAAGCAGAGGCCTGTTGTTCAGACAAATCATGCTGCTCCATTTGAACAGGTCCATAGACAAACACAAGACAATCATGTCATAACAATGTTCAGTGGCTAATCTTGTATGCATGTATCACTAATTCACTACATCTAGCTGATCTAAGTCCATACCATGTTTCCATTCAGCTGAAACCAAAACTGGGAGAAGCTTCATTGGAAGGAACAGAGGCACAGAGCAGCCAGTGAGACACAGAACTGCACCAGTAGTTTCAGTTCCAGGATCAGCTTGCCCACAGGGAAGTAGTAGTACATCTGATTGACATAATACACATATTTATAAGTTGGTAATTAGGGTGGTTGTTCTGGTGTCCATCATGGTTAAGCTAATTAAATACTGTAGCTGTTCTTCTTGTCAGCTGTCAACTGCTTCAGTAAGTACACACTGCTCTGCGTGCCCAAAAGACCTTATCATTCAGCTGATCATCCAGCCATTGTTGACGGCGCAAGCTTGAGCCTCTCGTTGTACTCCTGCATCTCCCTCTTGTACCTCTCCTTGTCCTCTGCACTGTGCCTGTAGTAAACCTGGCAACAATGGCGATGCATCAAGATTCAGGAGTTGAGTGATTGAGGATGTGTTTAGATCTATGGGTGAAAAGTTTTAGCGTGTTACATCGGATATACGAACACATATTTGAAGTATTAAACATAGACTAATAACAAAACAAATTACAGATTCCACCTGTAAACTGCGAAATGAATTTATTAAGCCTAATTAATCTATCATTAGCAAATATTTACTGTTTGTCAGATCATGTAACAATTAGGCTTAAAAGATTTGTCTCGCAATTTCCACGCAATATGTGTAATTAGTTTTTTTCCTATATTTAATACTCCATGCATATGTCTAAATATTCGATGTGATAGGTGAAAATCTAAACAGGCTCTGATAATTTGATCATCGTCAAGAAACTCGAGACCAGAAAAAATGGCTGTGCGTGAGGACGACGACGAACCATCTTGTCGTCGGCGGCGAGGCGGTTCCAGGCGTCGCCGATCATCCTGCTGTACTCCCTCTCCCTGTGCGGGTGGGTCGCCTTCAGCTCCGGGTGCTTCTCCTTGAAGAAGAAGTTGTAGGCGCTCCTGTTCGGCCTCGGCTGCGCCGGGTCGCGCTGCCGCCGCCCTCGCCGCCGCCGGCCCCTCGCCGGCGGTGGCGGTGGTGGTGGTGCTGCTGGTGGTGGTGGTGGTGGTGCGACGCGGTAGAGCACGCCTCGCAGCGTCTCGGCGGCGATCTTGACGGTGACGAGGTAGCCGTGCTCGAACTTGCCGTCGATGGAGCCGGTCACGCTGAAGCTGCAGGGCTCTGCACGCAGCAACCACCACATCATCATCGGAGTGGAGAAGCAAGCAAGCAACGGAATCCATGGCGTCTTTCGCCGGTGGCCGCCTACCTCCGCCTAGCCGCTCCGGGAGCGCCATTCTCTTCCCGGCCTCCGCCGCCGCCGGCGACTGATCGGAGGTTCCTCTCATCTTCCTCCTCGGCGTCTTCGTCAGCGCCGACGCTACACAAACACAAGATCGATCGAGCGATCGAGCAGCTCAATCCCAAACACTCGACGAAACCAAATCTTGCAAGATCAAGATTAATTCGCGTTCTTGGACATGAACTGATGAACAACAAAGGTAGATTACGAACCAGCAGGGCGGAGGAGGGCGCCATGGGCGCGGAAGAAGTAGACCTGCTCGTAGTGGTGGAGCAAGCTGAGGTAGTACCTCCTCAGCACGTACGACGCGCTCGTCGTCGTCGCGGGAAAACTGAACCGCGCCATCACCTCCCGCCATTTCCTCTCCTCCATCACCTGCACACCCACCCACACACACAAAATCTCACCATTTTTGCAATCAATCGCACATTGCCTCAATCGACAGCAGCAAATGGCTGACCTTCGCGAGGCCGCCTCTGCTGGTGACCTCCACATAGAGAGCGTGCAAGTCCATCTCCTTGCCTCCAATCACAGGGATCCTGCAAGAACATGCATTGACAAGATTAATTTACTAATAGCAACTATGGGAGTATGGATTAGTGATCAAGAATGAGCAGATGAGAGAAGAAATGGATGGATGGAGTAGTACATGAACTTGGTGCCCATGAGGGAATGGAAGCGCCTGAGGGTGTCCATGAAGGCCGCTCTGTCGTTGGCGACCTCCTCGTGGGAGAGAAGCGGTGGTGGGTACAGCAGCTTCTCAGCCATGGCTGCTCCGTCCATCACCTCCATTTCTTCTTTCTTGTTATCAACTCCAACCAGCTGCAAGTACTGTTTGTTACTAGAAACTGGAGTAGTTGTAGTACTTCACTGTTGTTGAATTGCAGAGTTTGCAAGATTGTGAGGATTATTGAGAAGGTGATAAATAAGACAGTCTTTGAGCAAGGATAGGTGAGGTGAATGGGGGCAAAGTGGCAGATGAGGTGAATGGAGGTTTTTTACGGTTGGTGGGGGAAGAGTTAACGCCATTGCCAATTTGCCATTACTAACAGGTGATGCCAGTCAATATGAGCTTTTTTTTCTTTTCATACTGTACTAATACTATTTTTCGGAATAATTAAATTAAATTAATTGTTATCCTCTTCCACCAAAATTTAAATCGCTAAGAATACAGATATAAAAGTTTTATTTATAAAATAATTTTGGTTGTTTCGTTTATTTTTTTACGGCTTATCAGCTATGGAGCAAACAATGAAAGGCTATTTTTTTTCAATCCAACCATCACTCATGGTTCCTTATACTTTTGCTACCTTTCAGGAGCATCAAAATAAATTCAGCTCAACATTAATCCCTGTCAAAACTCTTTTAACATGATCGTATGGAAGAGGGAGCAGTAGCTTTGTGGGCTGGATGGTGCTCGGTTGATTTGAACGCGTGTTAAAGACAGGCATTGCTTCTTTGGAGCCCTCGGTCTTATTTGATCCTCCGTGCTGATAATTAGCATTTTAAAATCTTAAATGTAGATTACTGATAAAACCCATTCCATGAAACGATAGGAAAGGAGGCCGCCGCGCGAATGCAACCACAAAATCCGTCAATGTGTAGTGTAGCTGCTGCTGCCTGCCAGTCGGAATAGAGCAGTACTGGTAGCAATAGATGGAGGAGACGATGCCTGAAACGACTGACCGATGGATGCATCGATCGGCGCCGTACCCGTACTGATGATGAGAGCAAATCGCTGCACATATCTTTTGCCTCAAAACATGCCGCTGCTGTCCATCAATCCTGCTGCTCTCGTCTCTTGGAATCTGATCACTTCTTTCGCAGTCCATTGCTTGCATCAGCTCTGGCCACTAGAGGGATGGATTTTTAGAATTTAGCACTTCTTAAAAAATACTTTACAAACAGGCCCCTAAGAATCTTATTACCAGAATGGTCAAATGGACCTTTTAGGGACTATTCGTAAAATAAGTCTCAAAGAAGGGATAAAATATAAAAAAAATCAGTTTAGATACTATAGTATATACTGGTACTATGACGGAGGAAGTAAATACTATACTACTCCATTCGTTTCATATTATAAGTTATTTGATATTTTTTTCTAGTCAAAATCTTTTAGATTTGATTATTATAGAAAATTAGTAACAGTTACAACACAAAATTAGTTTTCATTAAATGTATCATTGAATATGTATATGTATGTATATATGTATATGTATATGTGTATATATGTATATATGTGTGTGTATATATATAATGTTTTTCTATATTGAAAATATTACTTTATTTTGCTATAAAATTAATTAAAATAAAAAAAGTTTAACTAAGAAAAAAAATAACTTGTAATATAAAACGGATGTCTTCTTTTAAACAAGACGGCACAAGGGGACAAAAACCGCATAGCCCCCATCGCGCCATCGGAGCGCGAAACGAACGTCCATTACTACGTCCCTCATCGTAGTGGGCCTCTATTAAACGTAGGCCCAATACATAGCGGCGCAACGAAGGCCCAACAGGCCTCGAACACAAACAGCCTTTCGGCCCATCTGGTAGATACTGTACTACTCCCCGCTGTGTCGGTGGCCACACTGCTCCTCCTCTCTCTCTCTCTCGTTGTCGTCGCCTCCATGCGGATCATGCCGCCGCCGCGCAGTGCGAAACCGGCGAATCCGGAAGGTGCGATGAGTTGGGGTACGCCGCCGATGAATCGACCGGCGGGTGCTGGGGGAGAGCGCGGAGTCGCCGGAGTTGAATCGGTGGGGTTAGGGTTAGCAGAGGCCAGAGGCCTTCGCTAGATTTGGCTACAAGCATATTGGGCCGGCCTAATCTTGGAAGATATTGTTATGGGCTGAGGAGTTGGGCCACAACTTCGAAAGGCCCAATTTAACAAATGGTACGATTTTTTTTTAAACATGTAGCGACCTGTGACACCCTGAAAATTTGACGACAAAAAAAAAATCTAAACTCTAAAAATACAGATTTTTCAAAAACTTTTTAAATTAATTGCATCATGCCGATCTTATTTGCCTATTTTATTTGGATTTGATCTCGAAGTTTATTAATCGTGAGTAAAGAATAGTTAATTAGGAATAAACCTTAAAAAACAAATTGGTAAAATAAATATAAATTAAAATAAAGATTAGTTGTGGATAGGAATAAATAAAATATTATCGCGATCATATTTGGATCAATTAAATTTAAATACGATGGAATAAGAATTAACCCTAATTAAAAATTCAAATAAATTATATAAAAATAAATATGAGTAATATTAATCTAGGGTGAATTCATTAGTTGAGATAACACAAATATTGAGTAAAATGCATATATGCAAAAATTAGGAATTGTGGAATCAAATTTATATGGGAAATACACTAAAATCGGGATAAATAGGAAAAGTCACTATTCATTGCCCCCTAGGTGTTCGATCGCGTTCCCTAGCCCTAGCCCCTCCTCTGCCGCGTTGCCCTCGTGCCCCGCGCATCGTGCGCCGCTCCGCCTCCCCTCTGCCGTCGCCGTCGCCATCACCGCGCGTGCCGCCGTCGCCTCGCCGCCCGCCCGTCGCCATCGCCGCCTGCCGCCGCGCCAACGTCGCCGAGCCGCCCCGAGCCCGCGCCGACATCGCCACCCCCGTGCCACGCGTGCTGCCGTCCCGTTGCCGTGTCGCCTCAAGCCCCGCGCAGCCATCCCTTCGCCGCGTCGCCGCCCGTCACCGTCAAGCCCGCGCCGCGCCGCACCGCGCCGTCCTATCGTCGCTGTCGCGCCGTGCCGTCGTGTCGCCGCCCATCGCATCCCGCCCCGAGCCGCGCGCCACCGCTGTCGCCGTCGCCATCGATGTCCCGTCGCCGCGCGCGTCCCATCGCCGCTGTCGCGCCGCGCGCCATCTCATCGCCTCGCGCCGCAAGCCCGCCGCCGCGCCGCCGTCGTTTCACCCTTCCCCCTCCTTCCCCTCTCTTTCTTCCCCTGTCCCCTATAAAAAACCCCGGCCCAATCCCCCTTCTCCACCCCACTCTATTCCCTCCTCCTCTCCCTCTTCCCCTTCTCCACGCACCGCCGTCGTCGCGCCGCCGCGCCGCCACCTTCGAAGCCGCCGCGCCGTCGCCCCGGAGCTGCCGCGCCGTGCGTCGCCGCCTTGCGCCGCCGTCGCCGTCGTCGCCGCCGCCGGTGAGCCGTCTCCCCCCCCCCTCCACCTCGCGCCCACCACCGTCGCCGCTCGGGGAAGCAAAGAGCTGAGAGAGAGAGAGATAGAAAAAAGCCGGGAGGGAGGAGAGAAAAAGAAAAGAGAGGAAAGGAGGAAGGAGCCGGGAGAGAAGAAAGAAAAGAAAGGAGAAAGAAAAAGAGAAAAAGAAAAGAAAAAGAAAGGGAGAAAAAGAAAAAGGAAATAAATAGGAAATTAGAGGGAGATTAGGGAAGTTTAGAAAATTTAAAATAATTGGAATTTAATTATAGATTAATTATAGTCATAGAATTGCAAAATTTAATATAAATTATGGATTATTCTTGGCAATTTCTATAAGAAATCAATTCGCGGTAATAATTTAGATGTAGTTAATAACTAAACGAATAGATGAATTCTTATGGATTATTATAGATTATTTATGGGTAATCCCTATAAGTAATCGATTCACGGTAGAAATTCGGATTTAACTACTAGGGAATTTACCCGTGTATTATATTTAATCATTTAGTCATAGACTAAATTAAATCGTATAATATTTCTAGGATTCCGTCCGATATTTAGCTCGCGATAGAAATTTCTAACCTATTATATGGATATAATGCTCGGGTAGATTAAATTAAAAACTTATGACAACAAAATATTTATACCCGCAAAATAGTTTGAATCGAAATTGGGTTTGCCTTAGTTCGCGAATAGTAAAGTTAATATAAAGAAATCGACTTTCGCATTCGACTTTCATTTGGATTCATTTGGATTTTTATTTGAATTCTAACCGAATTCAAATCAATTTTCGCACGTAACTATAGAGCCCGAGGGAGTTGCGGATCCAAGCGAAGGTCAAGACCCGCAAGACATTGAGCAAGGCAAGTCATCACTATTCCTTGAACATGTTGATCCCAATTGCGAAATTGTTTTGTTTACAAATAAAATTGCATGCAATGATGAACATCCTACTTGTGATTATGCCATGCCTTGATTATTGTTTGCCCCTTATTCCTTCGTAACCATGTTTACGTATGAGTCCCTAGTCAACTATGATAAATGCTTAGAAATGATATTCTAGAATCATGCATACTCATATTTGTCAAATGCTATATGCTTGGGCAATTATCTTTGGGAAGGTAATTGAGATGCGGCATGTGGAGACATGAGCGCCACATTGCCATGATATTGAGGACATGATTTGTGAAAGGAGAAATAAACTAAATAACTATTTTCGACTGGGGTGGACGGAGGATTTGGGTGGTATCTGGAAAAGGCTAGTATCGTCCCCGGTCAATTAAGGACCGAGCCATGAAGTTAAGCATGAAATGACCCTCGTACAACCGCACTTCTCGTATGGGTATAGACCTAGCGGAGTAGATAGCCGAGCGGAGGCAGTATCCCTGCATAGATGGTTCACCCCTGAGTGAGGCAGGTGCGCTACGGTGGGACAGCCGTTGAGGTAGGGCCGAGAGGCGTGCCCTACATCGGTGTCGCCATTGGTAGGACTGCCATGAGTGTGTAAGAGGGAGAACTTAACTTGAGCCATAATTTAATATGTGTGTGAGACTTCTCTTTCCCGGGAGCGCCAGAACTCCTCTCACTGCTAGAAACATGGATGTCTAGAGTGCATGAGGATTTAAGTTCATGGAGCGGGTACTGCCAATGCGAGGTTATCAAAAGGCTTTACCGTGGCGCGTCTCATGTGTTGGGACGAGGCTCATGTGTTGGGCAGTCGCGGAGTGCGGGTAAAGTGTACATCCACTGCAGTGTGAGTAAACCAAATCTATTCGAATAGCCGTGCTCGCGGTTATTGAGCACCGGGACATGTATTACACTTGGCTAGACTCTAAATTCTTTAACTTGTGTGGGATGGGATATTGCATGATGATTTTTATGCTGATGGAGCCACTTCCTGAAAGGCGGGAATATGGACGTCCTCAGAAAACCATAACGACTCAATGGCGGGAAGCTATCCTTGGGATCACAATGGATGGTGGACAGAACCATCATTGTTTAATATGAACACTGGTATTAAAACTTGATCAGTCTATGCTAGGTCTTAGGCTTGTGAAAAGAATTACAAAACTTGCTTTGCGCAAAAGAACCATAGCCATCCTTTGAATTCCTCTGTCATGTGCATCATTGCTGTGGTGGCTTGCTGAGTACGGTTGGTACTCACCCTTGCAAATATAATCAGAAGCGGGAGATGAAGCTTCGGAGGATCCCTATGCCTACTACCAGGAGGGAGATGAAGACGATGGCGCTCAGTAGGTCTTAGTACGGTCGTTGCCTGTGGCAATGGCATACCGCTGCCTTAACTCCGCTGCCTTACCTACTTCTGTTTTTGGAATGTATTCCGGACCGCTCGGTCCGATGATTTAAGACTGTGCCTGCGGGCTTATGATGTAATAATTCGTACTAGACTCTCGTGTATGTGCACTTGATATTTCAGCTATGAGTTCGTGTGTACCAGACTACTTGATCCAGGGAAATGGTACTGTTTACACGATTGATTCCTGTTATAAAAACGGGGTCCACACTAACCCATCATCAACCTGTGTTGATTGAGTAGTAGAGAACGTGTTGTGTGCTAGCTAGAGACCGGGAGATTAGGCGACTACTGACCTGCCATATTCTTTCCCCGTAAGAACACAACTTTGTATTTTTCTTGTTGACTACTCAAGAATCAGGAATCGATCTAGTGACCATTGGTATATACTGTCTATTGTGGACCTTGATGCAATTATATACGTCATTTGCATGGTTCCTTAATTATATACAAATATAAGCAGACTTTTCCACGGGAAATAAGCATATCATCAGATCATGCATGCACCCACACACAGCTAGAGCACTGACACAATACAGTATATTTATTCGTATCTCAAAATATAATAACACAACTATATGATTAATAATATTGCATTGGGTGAAGCTTCGACCGGGTTACATATGTGTAGAGTATTGGCTAATGGCAGCATTGGATCGATCGCCTTTTGTTGCTCTTTTGTTGTTCGTGTGTACCAGACCACTTGATCCAGGAAAATGGTACTGATTACACGATTGATTCTTGTTATAAAAACGGGGGTCCACACGACCCTTCAATCATTGGTAGCGAGAGAGATCTTTTGCAATATTTTTTGTTGAGAGAGAGAAGATCTTTTGAACTTTAACCCCTGTTTTCTTTGTGATCATTAAGTTACTTTTTGTGCAAAGAATAACATTTGCATACATGTACCATGGTTTCATGGTGAAAACATGAATTGGATTCTCCATTGCATATCAACATATTGTCACCATCTCAGTTCATCAGCCAGCTCGCACACGTGTGCATCCGCGACCTCGCCTGCTCACTCAAGCCTATCAATGGAGACGCCGCCGCTGAACACATCCGTCAATGCCGTCGTCGACTCCAGAGACGCCTTCAGCAGCTTCACACACTGCACAACACACATGATCATGGTACACAATGAGTAATAAATAAATGAATAAATTATATCAGTGATAGAAGAACTTAACATGGGGGTACAACCTACTATAAAAACATATTAAACATGATGCACTAACTTGTCTAATATGTACGAACCATAGCCAAATGAGCATACCATAATTAATCTTATTGAGTTAAACTACAGCTAGTTAATGTATATTCACAGTCAAATTTGTTTTATTTTTATACGATATGTAGAAGTTGAATTTGAACTTATATATTTGTGGAGTGACGTATCACATATTAATATATCTTATTAATTTTATTTCATAATTATTTGAGTGAAATGCGAATAACGATCAAAATCCACTCCCTCCGGATAGAGAAGGGTTGCAAAAGTTTACCTCTTTGGGGCCCAGGTCGACGGTCATCTCGTCGAGGGCGGAGCAATCCTTGACGTCGAACTTCTTGAGCAGCATCACGGCGGAGATGGTGGACATGGGCTCGATGCTCAGGTCGTCCATCACCAGGTACGTCACCACCTCCTTCACGTACCCGCCCTCGCCGCCGGCCGCCGCCTCCTCCTCCTCCGCCGGCTTGCTGCCGCCGCCGGCCGCCCACTTCATCTCCACCGTCATCGGCTGCCGGCACCCCGGGCACGCGAGGCCCGCCGTGTCCGTCACGTTCAGCGGGTTCGACCGGCACGGCATCGCGTACGCGTTGCACCGGTAGTACCGCTTCGGCGGCGGCGGCGGCGGCGGCGGGGGGCGCTCGCCGAGCAGGGGAAGCGCGGCGGAGGGGAGAACGGCGGGGGCGAGCACCGCGTCGCGGCGGTCTGGGCCCGGGGAGGGCGGCGACGCGAGGAAGAAGGCGTCGTCGAGGGCGCGCGCGGCGGCGTAGAGCGTGGCGAGGGAGCCCGGCGCGGCGACGCCGTGGCTGGCGAGGACGCGCGCGGCGAGCCCCGCGGGCACGCGGAGGAGGCCGATGAGGAAGTCCACCGCGTCCTTGCGCGCCTCCGCGTACAGCACGCGCCGCGACCGCTTGTCCACCAGCAGCTTCAGCTGCGGCCCGGCGGCCTTCGCCGGCGTCGTGTCGTTCGCCGCGGCGGCGGCGGCCATGCCGGTCTGGTCGTGTGGCTACAACTCTAGTCTTCTCTTCTCAGTTCTCAGGTCACTGTCGAACAGTTAAAGCACACGTCTCGAACAGCATTGCAATGCACAGCTTATATTGTAGTAGCCATTTGATTGCAAGATTGGAGAAGTAATCAAGCAAGATGTTGCCATGGACTTGATGATCAAATTAGGCATGGTATATTTGCACATGAAGTTACTTTCACCTGAGGGTTTAGTTGGCAATCTGGCAATGTCGCCGTGTGATTCTGGAACAAGGTATTCTTTGCTTCTTCCATGGAGCTAAGCCTAAGCTAATAGCAGAGGCAACCTGCTTGCAAGTTGCAGCTGCAGAGAAGAAAATATTGGTGATGGAAATTATAGTCAAGGAGGATCACCAACAAAACTGTGAAGCCTTCAGCAGTTGTGATCGATCACAGATTCACAGTTGATATAAGAAAGTCTTCAGAGTCACTGAAGAGCGTCAGATCTGTCCATTAGGTGCCATATACAACAGCATCAGAAAATCATGATACATTGCACTGCAAGTGCAGTTGATTGTTAGGGAACCGATGCCTCCAGGGACAAAAAAAAAAAAAAAGAACTGCAGCATCTGAAGTTCAATCACTTGCTGCTAACTAAACCAGCTAGTATAAACATGAACAAGAAGAGTACATGTCCGACAGAGGCAGCTACGTGAAACTATGACTTGTTCAGATGCGATCAAGACTCAAAGAGTCATTCCCTTACTTGTTGTAAGTAGGGCTAGACGACCCTTGGCTCGCTAAGAAAGCACAAAAAAATGAATCATGTTGCTTCTGTACAGGGAAAATCTAGCTAGAGACCAGAACAGGATGTGTTGAAACCTGTTGACCTTGCTGAGACACGTCTAAAGATCTGAAGAACTTTCTTCACTGCCTTTCAGTCTCTTTCAGGGGCATCTCCTGCGTCTTTCCTTGCGCTAAGGTTCCCGGCATACGTCCAGACCTTCTCGATATCACCAGAAAACAGCTTCTCAACTTTAACCTCTTGTTTTGTCGGTAAGTTGTCTTTGTTCAATGGAGGCTGTACTCTTCCAGGGCTGCCTGTAACTGGAGTGGAGGAGCAGAAAGTGGGTGTAGCAAATGGAGAGGCATATGGTGTATGCTGAATTGAGAACGGGCTTGGGGAGATCCTCTTCTGAACTGGTACGCCAATGCCACGATTGAAGATGGAAACAGAGTCAGCAGCGGCAGACTTCTTTGTTGCATCATCTACATAAATTACATCATCAATTCTGGCAATTATGTTAAATGCCAAGCTCTCCAGAACCCTTGAGTAACTCTCTAGTATGGACTGCCCAACGTCCTGGACAAGAAACACAAGAAAAAAAGATGAATATTGTGATTATGTTGACAGTAAACTGATTTTTTTTGAAGAGAATAAGTTAAGTGATATTAAAAACAGAAAGGTTCTAATGTAACTATTCATATAATTCAGATCTTAGTATGGCATGCTAGCATGCTCGGTTTTGATGAAATAGAAGGTGAATGAACCATACAATGCTAACTCTAAGCCCAAGTGCCCAACTTGTTTGACATATTCAACTAAGATAAAATGTGAGGAATAACCTTGTTATACTGGATCTTGTTCATGTCGAGAGAGGTTTGTGGCAAACCAGGGTATCGCAATCTTAAGCTTTGCAACAACCCATCAGCTCTTTGGGACAAAACATGACTCTTTTCTGTATCTCCAACAAGTCCCTTCACTTTTCCACCCCAAGATTTCTTTGATTTTGCTTGAGGCGTGGATTTCTTTTGGCCCTTCAACCTCCACACATGGATGGCAGCCTCTATTCTGTTAGCTACTTCAAGTGTGTGGTGTTCTGATGACAGATCCAAGCAATCGAGGAGGCACTCCGGTGAGAATTGTTCAGCTGTTATATATCGGTAAATTATCTCACCCAAGCAAGATTTACCACTCTGCAGAAAAAAAAAAGAAGAGGTTACTATGTGTGGAACTCAGAGAGATATCATTACCAGTTAAGAACAACTCTTTTAGGAAGGTACTCATTAAGCACATAAACACACAGTAAAGGATATCAGAAGCGACTTGAATATTCATTTAAAGATACAGTTCAAATAATTTATATTCAATTACAGAACAAAAGTTAAAAAGATGCCATGGAATTTCAATATTGCGTCTTCTAAAGCACATTACACAACAAGCCTAAAAGTCAACGCCTAGATGCCATATTCATGACCAGGTTGAGCAACCTATACATGAATTACATTTGGGAAATTAATGCCTTAACTAGAATACTATGCATCACTAGCTTATTTTTGCGCGTGATGGTGTACAAGCACAGACAAGAAAGAAGCCGAATTTGAGCTTCGCCCAGGTATCTGTTTAATGTTTACAATACTCTCCATCATAAGCTAATTTATATGATGAAGTTCTTTGCATTCTAAATGCCATCAACTGTCAGCTTCCACTGATAATTGGTAAGAATGTTTTCAACTTTTCATTAAAATGGAATACTGGTTGCAAGATTCCAGATCAGATGCTAAAATCATCTTGCCATATAAGGCAGCAAGAAGTAAACCAAGACAGTGTGCAATATGCTAATACCCCCTCACAAAATACATGAGAATTGCACTGGAAAGACATTAATTAGCTTATTTCTGTAACAAGGAAAAACAGTGACTTTAACTCTACTACACATGAATTGATTCCTTGTGAAAAAAATGGCAGGCTGTACAAACAAGAATGGAAATAAATTGGATTTAAGACAGATGATAGTGTGATAGCAACACAGCTAGCTCAAGCGAACGGACCACATTGCCATAAAGGCACTCCCACTTTCACCAGTTGAGCTACAATTACAAGCATGTATGGTGAGAAGAAGTCCTGTTCACTGCAATTTAACACATTGGCCCATTTTTACCAGCACCAGTGGTGTTTTTTCTAGTATAGAGCACCAGTTATTAGTAACTAGTAGTACCAATGAGTAGATAATCTGAAATGATTGTTTACCTTTGGCAGTGACTCCAAGTACACTTCCGGGATCTCCATCTCCGCGAGCACATCGCTGTTAATCGCCATGGCCGCCTTCAGTATCTGGTTCGCACAATCCCTGTCCTGTTGCAGCTTCCTCCTCGCATCCTCTGACAACCCCTTGGGCGGCACCCGCGGGCATGGCAGCCACCATTTCTCCTCCTGCCGCACCGACGGCCGCCCGCAGGAGGATGACGACGACGAGAACGGCCCGCCGCTGTCATCAACCACGATCCCCCTATCCACATACCAGAACTCGGTCTCCTTGAACCCGTCAATCATGGCGAGGAGCATCGCATCGAGCTTCTTGAGCGCCGGGAGGTTCATGTAGAGGTCGCTGCGGGGGCGCGGCACCATGACCTCGAACTGTCCCCCGCCGTCGGGGAGCTCCTGGATTGACGGGGTGAGCTCGACGATGGAGTCGGCCACGGAGAGCAGCCAGTCCATCTCCCTCGTCCACATCGCCTTCCTCGCCGAAGCCATCGGCTCCAGCCTCCACAGCTCGCCGAACACAGTGGCTGCGGATTCGGAAACAACAACAACAGCAGCAGCAACATTATTCACCACTCTCCTCGTCGCAAATCACGGCAATGTGGGGGTTCATGACCGTACCGGAGAGGTTGGTGATGGCGTTGGAGATGGCGAGCGCGGTGCAGACGCCCTTGCCGCTCCCGGACATGTCCTCGCCGAGCAGCAGCTTGGCGAAGCGCTCCTTCATCATGTCCACCTCTGGAAAGCAAAAGCCCCAAACCGAAGCATCTCGTGAGGGGTGGAGTGAGATCTACGCAACAAGGAAACAGCAGAGAGAGGAGAGTTTGTTTGGTAGGAAGAACAAACCGGAGAGGTCGGCGGCGGGCTTGGCGGAGAGGAAGAAGGCGGCGGCGGAGGAAGGGGGAGGGGTCGGGAGGAGCGAGGAGGAGGAGGAGGAGGCGACGCCGCGGGAGGAGGAGGAGGCGAAGCGGCGGGTGGTGGTGGTGGTCGTCGGCGCGGAGCAGTCGCTGGATGTCTCCGACTCGCTGACGTCCGCGCTCGGGCTGTAGCTCCCGCAGCACCGCTCCGAGCCGGCGTCGTCCTCCGACGCGCTCGCCATTGTAGTCGTACCACCCCTCCCCTCCGACCTCCGAGCTAGCTAGCTAGTCGCGGCGGCGGCGGCGGCGGCGGCGGCGGCGGGAGGGAATCGCATCCGCGAGGGGGAGAGGTGGTGGATGGATGCGGCGGCAAGCGAGGGGAGGGGAAAGCGATGGGAGAGAGAGCAAGCACACTGATGACTACTGATGCGGCTGCTCTCCTTTTTATTTTTATTTCCTTTCCTTATTTGAGATGTGTTTATTTAGGAAAATGCTACATAACGTATCCCATTCCGACGGGACTCATACTCAATCTGTTTCACGATACAAGTCATTTATATTGATGTTAATGAATCTAAACATATATATCTATATTAATTTATTAACATCAATATGAATGTGGAAAAATATTAAAATAACTTATATTGTAAAACGGAGGAAGTAGGTATTACTCTTTCCGTCCCAAAATATAAGTATTTTTAAGCATAGTAATAAGTCAAACATTTTTAACTTTGATTATTAATAGAAAAAAAAATCAATCATGTAAAATTAATATTACTAGATTTATTATTAAACAAACTATCATAATATGCAACCCTTTTTATTTGAAACATTTTACTTTTATATATATCGTTTGTCAAAGTAGCATCTCGAAGATCGTGTCAGTCTAAAAATGTTTAAGGGCCCCTTTGAATCGTAGGGTTGAAAAAATGGAGGAATAGGAAAAACACAGGAATCTGATAGGAATTGAAGTGTAAAACAAAGGATTGCAAAACACATGAAAAAACATAGGAATGGTCGTTTGATTGGAGCGCAGGAAAAACGCAGGAATCGGATGAGAGGAAATTTTTCAAGAGGTTGAAACTCTTGTTATATTTCCTCCAAAATTCACATGCAATGTGCCATTCCATAGGAATTTCATAGGATTTGAAAAGCTTCAATCATTTGAATCAAAGAGCCAAACAGGAAAGTTTCCTATATGATTTGAATCCTATGAAATTCCTACATAAATCATTTGATTCAAAGGGGCCCTTATATTTTGGGATGGAGGGAGTATTTGATATTCCTTAATAGATATCGGGTGATACCCAGTTAGGACGGAATGATGCCTATGATATATCGTCTAAACGGGATCTCGTTCTGTAGCATTCCCCGTTTATTTATTATTAAATTACTACTGTGTAGTGCTAGTATTTGGTCTTCGCTTATTTATGAGTTACCATAGTGTATATATGCCAGCATCGTATACTAGTACATTGCTACACGATAATACGGCAAAATGACAGCAAAAGGAGTACTGATAGTACTATACAAAAGTAGGGAGCTGTATAAAGAACTGTAGTATGGATTATTATACTGGAGTGTTAATTAAGAAACGGGAAAAAATCTATCTGATTGTCTTTTAGCTAATATCTAATTTTGGAAAAATGTCAACTAAAATGAAACTGGCAATATAATTTACATGGAACTTTTAAAAGAAAAGGATAAGATTCTTTTTTACAATCCTAATATCTTGTCGCTATCATATCACGAAAACCTTTCGATTTGGAGAGGAGACTTAAGGAAAGAGGATTACTACTAAAAATAGAAAAAGATAAAGAGCCTCATCAGTTGTCCATGTCCCTTAATAAGCTAAAACGGTTTATTAGTGAATAAAAATTAATTTACTGTTAAAGTTTTTATATATTTGTTTGTAATAATTTAAAATTCAACGTTAAAAGGAAATCGCATTAAAAATATCGTAAAATCAACTTCAAAATCGAAATCAAGTTTGAAAATATAAGTTTTAGCTTTTGATTTAGCTTATTAGATCAACAGATGATGAGATCAAAAAAAAACACGGAGAAAGTTGAACAAGTTAGAACAAGTTTGAGGAGGAGGAGCAGCACGTCAGCATCGGTTGGTTGGATTTGGCAGGTTGCGGGGGGTGAGGACGGAGGACGTTCGCCGTTCCGTTTGCGTGGCGTGTGGACCGGAGAGGTGGGCCATGCCCGTCAATGGGTGTACGACCTGGGCCCCACCTGTCGGCTCCACCCGATGATTGTCCACGGACCAAATAAGTACACACTCCCCTGTGTCTTTGAAACGACGGGAGAATAAATATAATCATGCTTTGCATGTTGAATGTTTGACTTAAATTGACTGCACTCTTTTTCTCTCCTTATTTAGATGTCGAAAATGAATGGTGTTTATTGAGGTTCGCTTTTTTTGTTAAAAAAAACAACCTCTATGTTGTGTCTCGTCTTAGATTGAATTTTTATAGGATGGACTGAGTATCTATTAATCCAGATAAAAGACGAGTGAAATTATGAAACAAGAGCCGTGCAAACGAGCATATGTCTGCAAAAAATAGTTACACCCGACTAAAAGTTTGTGATTTGCTTTGGGATACTTTAAAAATGTGATACGGTTTAATGACACATAGAGAAATAGACACTGTGAATATTATCTTATCACAAAGTATACTTTAGTTTTTATATGAGGGTTTGGATCTAGTTCGGACCATATCGACCCATGAGGGTTTCAATAGGTTACTGGTCTGAGGTGCAAACTCGTCTTTTCTAAATTTTTTTCGAAAATAAAGAAACAATGGCTACTGGTTCTTTGGCAAACCATTAGTTTTGGATGTCCTCGAGCCATGTTTTTTTTACGGTGCTCACGAACAAATATCATATATTACTTTATTACTTTTAAGTGTCCCATAGTAATGTTTGCTATGTACTCCATCCACCCAAAAGTCTAGGAAATAATTTATTCTGTCACCAAAACCAAAAAAAAAAACCATCCACTATATGTGACAAAACCGAGTAACAATATGTTTGAATGCAACCAATGAATATTATATATGACTCTTTCAGTTATAGTCAATAGTTTAACTTAGCACATATAGAGACTACAAACATATCCATCTCATCTATAAAAAAACAGAAAATGAAATACTATGTTTTTTTGGACTTTTGGAAGGATTATTATATGGAGGGAGAGTATAGTGAGCATACGGAAGAAGAGTATACGAAGTACTAATGACGTAGTATAGTACTCCGTACTTAACAACAAGTAGCTAATCCGTCCTACATACCATGCATGTTGATGTATACACCTCACTTGAAGTTAGTACTACTACTCTAGTACGTATTGAAGGGAGTAATTCGTTGTCATGTCCATACACGGCCGGAGTACAAACGTACGTGGTCTCTACATGTACTCCTGCTTGGTTGCAACCGGCCGGGCAGAGAAGCAATTTGCATGCAGCCGTGAACACAACGCAAACTACTAGTACTAGCTCACTATCACTAGTAGTCTCTCCTACTCCAACACTAATCATCGCAAGTGTGAGACCATAACTGCCTCGGGATGCGAGCCCGGCCCTCTCTCGCTCGCCACAGTCATCACATGCATCATTACTATACTTAATTTCATCCATTGCAATTATATTTGTGGGCTCTGCATGCTCTTCCGCTTATTATTAGTACTTGAGCAAGTTTAATAGGAGCCAATTGCTAGCTTTAATTTATCTATAGCCAATATAATAATCAATTCATACAATAGTTGTTTAATATACTACTAATATATAGTCCCACCTATTATACACACATTGTGTCTTACCAATCTGTAGCCAACTACTCTTCTCTCTCATCTTTTATCTCATTAAAATATATTTATAGTAAGTTAATAGTCTGCTATTGTACCTGTTCTAATACTACTAGTAGTACATTTGGATGGATGCTCTAGAACAAGTTAAGTACTCCTACTAACATTTGGATGGATGCTCTAGAACAAGTTAACAGCATATAAAACTAACTTATTAGCACGATGCAAATTATAGGCATTTGACGGAGGAGCGGCATTAACGTTTCAAAATGCCAAGATGAAATTCAGGCGAAATTTGCTCGGTTCATACAGAAAACGGGGTGGACTGATCTCCATGGATTGGCGCACGCACGGAACGTACGGGTGGGCGTCGCGGGGCAGGCATCATTGCGACTTTTGTATTCACGTGTATGTACTACGACTTGCTCCTATCCTATACCGGAGTAGTATATTTTACTACACAACGCCTAATCCAAGATTAGATACAGGTTAATTAATCATACTTTAGTACGAAGTAGATTTTTTTCCCCTCTTTCCAGTGTCTCTCTGTGTTATCTCAAAGAGAGCTCAGGGAATCAGAGGAAGAGAGGAGGAAACCCGGCTGAGAAAAACGAGGAAGAAGGTGCCCAAAGCAGCAGGGTTCACAGCCCTGTTACTCGATCGAAAACCGCTGAGAGCAATATATATCTCTAGTTGTTCATGAAAACCGTTCGTAGATCCGCAAAATACTACAAGATTGGGACTTTTTTTTTTGTCAAAAACATAAAATTTAGTTTGATTTTTTTTAACTTAACAAAAAAAAACGAGCGGTAGAGATATTCCTATAGTGTAGTACTTACTGTAAGTGTACATCTTTCATCACAAAATAAATCAAATCCCGATTATGAATCTGGATAAGTGCTTATCTATATTTGTAGTCAAGATTTGAGTTTCTTCTTTAAAACGGAGAGAGTAGTTTGTAACGATCGGAACATGTCATCCTTTTCAATGGCCGTCTTGTGTTGTGGGCATGCATAGCAAGGAGGGGTAGGAGCTATGGCTTTGTAGGGGGGGTACTGTGGCTGTGTGCTTGTCGTCCAAAAGGCCTAAGTCACTTTGCCCCCCTGTTGCCATGCCTCCTGCCACATTGTTGCCACGGCATGCATTATTTGATGGAGACTCTGCTGGATCGAAATGGTAGCTTGGACAACCACCAACCGAACAAAGCTCTCAACTACTAGCCAGCTTAGCTTCCATTGATGATCGATCTTCTGCAGCTGTAGCATGTAAATATAGGTGTATTTACACGGCCTGTACCATTCCAATACAGTAGCTCCAGTAAAAGATGGCAAAAACAAATTATCGCAGGGTAGAAAAAACAGAGGAATATGAAAAACACATGATTCTGACATGAATTGAAGTGTAAAACAGAGGATTACAAAACATAGGAAAAACACAGGAATGGTCGTTTGATTGGAGCGCAGGAAAAACGCAGGAATCAGATAAGAGAGATAGACTCAAAGGAAATTTTCCAAGAGGTTGAAGCTATTGCTAAATTTCCTCCAAAATCCACATGTAATGTGCCATTCCATAGGAATTTCATAGGATTTGGGAAGCTTCAATCATTTGAATCAAAGGGCCAAATAGGAAAATTTCCTATAGGATTTGAATCCTATAAAATTCCTACATAAATCCTTTGATTCAAAGGGGCCCTAAGGGTGCTCCTAGAGTATACAAAATAGTAGGTTTTAACTAGCTAGTAAGTCAATTATTGGTGCTTGTACTAACGGCTAATTATTATTGCCAGAGGCGGATTCAGGCCTTTCCTGTGAGGTCGGCTAACCCCACAGGTTTTTAAAAAACATCATATAAACCTCGATTTTCATGTATAAATTCAAAATAATTTAGAGAAATGACCACACTTAAATACAAAACACTAGTAATTGACCCCGCAGGTTTAAATTTGTGGCTCCACCACTTATTAATAAGTGATGTACTCGTCGGTTATGAGATGCATCTTTATGAAATACTAGTAGCTTAGTCATTGTAGTACGTGTGTTTGTAGCTATAAGTGTATGTTCGCATGCATTTTTATTGTGTTTGGAAAAAAAAACATCAGTTATTTAAAAAGAAAGGGAGTAATACGTGACACCACACTGGCTGTGATGATATATGTACTCGTTTATTAATCTTTTTTTATCTATGCTGGTACAGGAACAGACTCTCTGCTAGTATACATCTCACACTCGCGTCAGCACATCTCTTCTGGCTCTGGCTACTGCATCTCTTATTCCCTGATGAACCGTCAATCCTTTCCTCCTCCCTACAACAAAGAACAGTGATTCATCCATACCAAAATTAACTAATCCCGTCTTAATTGTTACTCCTACAAAGTACTAATTAATTGTTGGAATGTGCTGAAACTGCTACCGGGTACTACTTTGGATCCTCCGACACATGAGGAAGAAGAGACAGAAGAAACAGTGCGTGACTTTGGATTATTCTGGACAAATTAGATCGGCGAAGTGTGGCGCATGTGCTGCAGAATTTTTTTTCCCCTCTTTTTTTGCAATAGTTGATCAAAATAGCTGTGTTGCACAATCCACAATTGTTTGCCAACGTATCCTCCTGTTTCACCTTGTCCGGGCCGAGCTACTACATACGTATAATTGCTAATTTGCTACTATGTTGGTTGTTGGAACAAATGAATACACATGTGCTAGCTAGCTAGTACTATCTCCATTTCATAATGTAATGTATAGTCATTCTAATATTTTCTACATTCACATTATGTCTAGATTCATTAACATCAATATGAATGTAAAAAATACTAGAATGACCAATATAAATGTGGAAAATAATAAAATGACTTATATGGTGAAACGGAGGAAGTAGTATCATAAAAACCCCAATGTCTACTTGCTCATTTCCGTTGGATGGAACAGTGATTTCATCTATTTTTTCAAACGAGTACTATTAGCACATAGGGTGACGTTGAAGAAACAGTATATATATAGTTTTATGTGCCCATGTTAAATACGAGACGCAAGTAACAAGCCTGATACCTATAGGTATTTTTTCGAAATGTGACATATTCTAATATAACAAATTTGAAAACTGGTCAGCTAATAAACTGGAGTATACCATACCTTCAACGGTCAGCTAATAAACTACTCCATCCGTTCCAAAATATAAGTATTTTTAGTATAGTGACAAGTCAAATATTTTTAATTTTCACCATTAATAGAAAAAAATATAAAAAAGAATAATTATGTAAAATTGATGTTATTAGATTTATCATTAAACAAAATATCAAAATATGCAACTATTTTTATTTAAAGCATCTTACTTTTATAGATATTATTGGTCAAAATAGCATTTCAGAGTCTGTTTCTGGGTCCAAAAATATTTATATTTTGGGATGGAAGGAGTATACCATAACTTCAACGGTATCATGTCAAGTACTTCCTCCATCCTAAAGTATTACAACCTAAAATTGAATTAGACCTATTCTCTGTTCATATTCTATCCAGATTTAATGTCTTAGGATGCGATTAGCTATAATATTTTGGAACGGGAGAGGTACCCCTATGCTTTATGTTTTCTTTTTTCTACGGGGAATAGTGATTTCATATAATGTAGCTGGCCCCATTGTCAAACGGCATATTTGCAATCGAGAAGTAATTTATGAATAAAACTTTTATATACGTGTTCTTAGCGACCTAAAAGCAAAGGCTGAAAAATAAACTTCGATGAGAAAATCTCAAGATCAGCTTTAAATTTAAGGTTAAAAATTCAAAATTTGGCTGATAAAACATAAACATAAGCGAAAAGATGGGGCTGGAACATGTAGGTTTTGCCTGCATTGACGAAACCTGTCGTGTCGAGTGAAGTCGTGTCACCGGTAGATCACGAATGGGCAGCGAGATTTCGGAGCATCTTTCTTCAGATTGTTGGGCCTCATCTTTTCGCTTATGCTTATCAGCTAAAATTTGAATTTTGAATTTTAAATTTAGAGCTGATTTTAGGGTTTTTTTTTATCGAAGTTTATTTTTCAGCCTTTACTTTTAAATCACTAGGAACACGTATATAAAAGTTTTATTCATAAACTACTTCTCATTTACAAATATGTCGTTTGGCGATGGGGCTGGTTTTCTGACCCAGCTATTTTTTCCTTCACGAAGCCGGCAGCTTTCGTTTTCACGGCATTGCATTCAGTTCTCTACTTTGTAGAATAATATTTTTAGCTGATTTTTATCGAAGGACTGCGTATGAAACTCGACCGAAAATCCTTCACTTCTGCAGAATTACGAGCGGTTGGTTGTTGATACCGTGAAATGAAAGGAAGAATACCGGTGCCATACTGCCATCTGTTGAGTACGCCACTATACTACGATGGTAGGTACCCAGGAAATCCAGAGATAGCCAGTTGGGAACTTGAGAAAAAAGCTTCACACCACATGCCAACGTAAGAGCCGTGCAGCTGCTATGCTTGACAGATTCTTTCTCCAGCTATTACATCCTTATCCTTTTCTTTTGCTCAGTTCTTTTCAGTTCATCATCACGTATTCCCTACCCTCGAACTATGAGTATAGCAGCATGACGCAAAAGTATCTAACATCGTTGGGACTTGGACACCAACAGTCTCTGAAAGTACAGAGCATATGAATTTCGTAGGAAATGATGAAATTTTCTACATGCGGCCCCAGCGTTTTCTATCAAACCTTCATGTTTTGAAAAAGAAAGAGAGGAAATAACAAGAATCATATACAGAAGAGAAATTAGGCAATGTATCATTTGAAGATAGGTGCAGAGCACTTGTTATCATTACAATGGCAACCCACCACTTGCGGTAGCTGAAGCTCTTCATTTACCTGATTTTATGTCCCCGGAAAGCTTTAGCTTTTCTGACCACTACACACTACCAAACTAATACAAGCAGGCAGGCACCAATTTATAAAATATCCAGTCAAGAATATGATACAGCACTTACAATGATGAGGGGATGTGTTTGAGCAACACATATCCAGAAAGCACGGCGCGGTTGCGTTCCTTGACCTTTGTTTGATAAAGCACCCTACAAGAGCCAATCATTCCATGGGTTTGTGTTGCGAAAATTCAGCAGCTACAGGAATAATTCAGATAAAATATGTTTACCTCTGGCCTTGGAGCCACATTTCAGTGACTAAAGTTTCTCCAGGATAGACATGCAGAAGAAAACGGCCAAAGATGCTTTTCACTGCTGTTGGATCTCCATTGCAGAAAGATTTGATGACAGCGCGGATCGCGAATCCAAGGGAACTGAGACCATGCAGTATTGGACGAGTGAACCTACAGAAGTCCTTGTCAGATAGTAGAATCTTATGCATGGAAAGCCAACTCCGGGTAAATGAGGATCCCGCAATTGGTAGTCAAGGGCTTTATAAATCATGTGAACATGAAGAATGATGAAAATTACTGGGAGGACTGAAGCCTAGTCATCCCAATACGAATAAAACGATCTGTGACAAATTATTTTGACCTCGCGAATTCATCGATTTGTGTGGGAAAGATCCAAATAGATCTGATAAGGGATAACCATGCTCGATGGACTTGAGTTTCTTACTGCTACTTTTATTACCTTTCACTGCTACAGTGAAACATTGTTTGCCTTTTTAGGGAATATATTAGTGTTTTAAGGAACACTGTCAAGTTCTTTAGTCCTATATAGACTTGTTTAATAAGAACAAGAGGCAACAAATAGTTGGGTGCTCTTTCGATTTCTATCACATATGTTGCTAACAACTGAACACTGGAAACTTTTTCTGATGCAAGATCCAGTGCAATCATTTCCTAAACGTCAGTGTACGAATATAAATGCGTTCATCCTGGTAAAATAAAGCACATCAGAAACACTGCAAAAACGGTAGTGGCATACATACCCTGCAACCTGCGCAACCATAGGGTCTGAATGCAAAGGATTATAGTCCCCAGATAACCTGTACAATAGTGCCTGGATGAACAATGATAAGTGATCAGACTTTGAAGAATCCAAGTTACATATCGAGAAATTTATCTTTTTCAAAATAGAACTGGTCTTGCCAAAAGAAATTTTGAACTCAAAACACTCAAAGAGCAGATGCAAATTATGGTACTTTGGATGATTTATGCACAATGAACACAGAAATTCATCAAAACACAGACCATATAAGAAAATGGTTACTATAGTCTAATTGAGATGCTGTGTACCACTATTACCAACAAAGACATGTAATTGCACACACATAAAATAGCATGCCGAATGAGCAACATGCCTGGGATTGTTGTGTCTGGTCTTCATATACTGCAGAAGGCGCTGAATTTGGAATAGAAATGCGAGAAACCTGGTTAGTGGGATAACTAGCATAGGAGTATGGTCGTGAAGGATCAGAAAAGCCTCCAGCACCACGCAGGTAGATAGTACTCCTGCATTAAGCATCAATTGCATTGCTTCTCTATATTTTATAAATAAATAAATTGGGATGTTTGAAATCGTAAGGCCATCTCACAGACCTGTTCATACATAAAACTTCACCAGAATCTTTGACATGGGTTGTAGTCTCAATCTCAAGAATAGTTGCTTTCCCTGCATATGGAAGTAGTCTCAGTGAAACCATTTCCCAATTTTGAGCACAAGATCGTTTTGCTTGCTTCGAATCAGTGGGTATAGGATTTTATTGATGAAGTGGTCGAAGAGTTCAAAGGATGCAAATGGCAGTCAATCAAAAGTGATTTATATTGTTCTGCGGTATTCTGATGGTCTGACCAAACACTCCAGCTGGTGTGGATGAACACTGGTAGATGAGGGACACTATGAATAATAAACTTGATACTTGCATAGGATGAAACGGGAAAAAAAAGATTCACCATAGCATATGATTCCTATAATAGATGGAATTTGAAGTTGCAAATCTTATATTGCAAGAAGCACAGAGCTTTTTTTTAAGAGAGAGTGTAAGAAGCAGAGCTAAAGGCTCAATAGAGCAAGTCATCAGGAAAATAGGTTATATACTTGAGGAGCTCCATGGGAAGTATTTCAGTTTATGGTGCTTCTTTCTTTCTTTTTATGAAATGCTTCAGCTTTTGTTTCAGATCTAGCAGTGGCATGGATTAGAGAGATGATAAAAATTAATTTCAGAACAATAAGGCAACAAGCAGAGCTGGTTAAATTTAGTACCTTTGTCATGCAAGCCAGCTATCTTGGTCTTGTTTACAACCTGGAGAAATAAAAATAAGGAATCCATAAGTTGCCACAAAGGATGAGGGAGTCTCAAGAATGTTTTTCCATCCTGATATCGATAAGCTAAAGGAATTTTCAGCTGTGTAGTAAGTAGTTAGATTACTATCTACTGGGCAATAGTTCTTTCATCAAGGCAAGAAATAATAATAATAATAATAAAAGAAACAAGCAAAATGATGGGTGTTCTTTACTTCTTTTGACAAAACATTAGAGAATGATCTCCTTGTGAGCTATCCTGTCTTGATGATAAAGTTGATCATAACTAAGGCTGTGTTTGTTAGATGGGGTTGGGAGCTAATTTCCCGCGCATGTAAAACGGAGTGACTCATTAACACATGATTAATTATCTTCTTTTTTAAAAAAGGATTAATATGATTTTTGAAGCAATTTTTCTATAGAAAACTTTTGCAAAAAAACACACCGTTTAGTAGTTTGGTAAGCGTGCGCGCGGAAAACAAGAGAGGTGAATTGGGAAAGCATGGGGAAGAACACAGCCTAACATGAGTATACAAATTCAATTCCAAAGGAAGATAATCCATATATGTACATCCACATTGACAATTATTTGGAAATAAAGTCACTAAATATGAAATATCCTTTGGCCAACTTCTAGACCAAAACTATGATAAGTATCATTCCAGTCAGTCATTGTCTATATGTATCTCAGGCTCTAAGCACAACAATATTAAAACAAAATGTTTTGAGACAGGAAAGCTACTTACATTGGCACGCGAATGAATTGGCTTGTATATCTCTATGTAATGTTGACCATGCAATAGAAGGCTTGCGTCAAAGCTGAAGAAAAATAATAAAAGAAAAAAAAAGCTAAAGAGACAAATTGGAGCATACATATTGGAGCTACTAAAAACATAGATAAATGGATAAGAAGTGACAAAACTAATGGTAGCGAAACATGGCACGGAGGGAAAGTAGAACTCATAAGCTACTGTAATTATGTGATGGCTGATGAAAATCTTACTTAAGGCCAGGCACATCAACAATTCCAAGCCCATTGCTGTTCTTGAAAGGAAATAAAGAAGCAAAAGTAGGAAGAGCCTGTGATTTAATAGAAATAAGGAATGTGTTAGTCTCACACGGTCACACCATTTTCTAGATTAAGACTCGGTGTTTCAAACAAATGGAGCAGAGTTTATTGATGGCATGTGAATCTGATAGCAGTGCAATGCGTTGGTAAGTCCCACGACTATGCATGTCTGACTCGTTATATTCACTGGATGAGAACAGCATGGACTCTCGGCATGGCTAAACATAATTCCTGAGCAATTACTTTAGTTTCATTCTCACCATCTCATCCAACAAAACTACAATATTAATTATGAATTGCTGGTCGCTGAACCAGAATAGAGGACTGTTTATTCACCATAAACTCGTAGTGTTATTCCCAACAGTCACACCTTGATGACATCGATGGTCAACATAATCCTCCATAGTGAACAAGCTGTCAAGCATATAGTATTACTCTAAGGTGGATGGAATTCAGCTAAGGACTGTAATCAAGCATTAGCTCCCCAAGTCCTGACAAAAAGTAACTAAGACAAGACACTGATTGTAACAGCAGATAATCCATCAGAGCTTTGGCAAAGCAGAATATGTCTTGGTACGTTCCAATTTAATTTTGTCCGCAAATGTGCATCTTGGTCAAGATAATAAAAGCATTGCCGGCTTACTAACTAAGATTCTACAATCCCTACAATACACACGATTCCATATCGCTATCTAGAATGCTAGTAGCTCAGTACAACACTATTATATCGCACGCACGAAATTCCCCCCAAATCAAATTCAGCAGCGCAATCGCAAAATGCCAACACAATATTTCCCCCAAATCAAATCCAGCAGCGTAATCGCAACGACTAGAGCGTCAGAACAAGAACGAATTCGCACCAAAACGAGATGTGTTTAACCGATGGGGGCACCTTGATGTGTGGCTGGCCGTCCCTGTGGTACACCAGGTGCAGCTCCTTCTCGTCGATGGCGTCCGCGCCGCACGCCCCGACTCCGAGCGCGTACAGCGCCACATCCCTGCGAAGCAAAACACACACACACACACACACACACGGGGAGCCGATCAGATCAACCGGACGAGCGAGCGGGCCGGGGGCCTTTCCATCGAGGGGCGAATTCCGGCCAGCTGCTCACCTCTCGTCGTAGGCGAAGGAGACCTGCGCGCGCGAACAGAGGAGGAGGCATCAGAACAGAACGCGAAGCAAGGGAGAGGGAGGCGATGCGGGGGCGACCTAGCTAGCACCTACCTCGGGGAAGCTGTGGGAGAGCACGGCCTCGGGGTCGACGGCCGCGGCGGGTGGTCCGGATCGCGCCGCCATGGTTTGCCGGGCGCGTTCGTCTGCGTGTCGCCGGCGACGACGTGGGACTGTGGGAAGGGGAGAGGTGGCGTGGAAGGGGAAGAGAGACGGAGAGGTGGTCAAGTAGTAGGTAGTTTAGCCGCCACATACAATTTCTCCATCAAATATTCTCGCTTAAAATATACCAACACTAGCGTACTGTTTCCTCCAACTACACAAAACTAATATTTCCGTTTCACAATGTAAGTAATTTTACCATTTTCTACATTTATATGAATCTAGATAATAGAATGATTTATATTGTAAAACGGAGGGAGTACTACTATTAGTAAAATTTGTGAAAACCATGTGTTTTAAACTTATGGGAGTGTCACTGTTACTTTGGTATTTGGTAGGAGTACTAGATGATAACAACATCGGGTAGAAGAAGATAAATAGGATGTATGCAAGCATACAACTTTCACGTGTCAGCGCACAATATACATATGAAAATCATGAATTAACAAAGTTTGTTGCTCGGTAAATTTCATCATATTATATAAGATGTTAATATTTTTTTAAGTCAAACTTCTGAAATTTTAACCAATCTCATAGAATACGTTACAATATTTTCAATGCAAGATAAATATAATAACATAATATATTTAATGTTAAATTTAATAAAACTAATTTAGTATTATAGATATTTGTATGCGTATAAATATTATCAAACTTAACAAACTTTAACTTAAAAGGAAATCAAAATGTTTTATAATATAAAATAGGAGGAGTAAATTAAGACTAAGGTATTCGAAACACATGTTTGTTGCTGTCGATGTATTGGTTTCCAACAAGTAACAACCATCCAACCAACGATAAACCAATTGAAACAAGCTGCTGCGAGGACAGGACCAAATGAGCTTCGCCTCACCACGATGAAGACATGCGACCGAGCAACAAACTTAAAGATTAGAGTAAGTCTATTATTCACCTCTCGAGATGGCGTCCAATCGTTTTTCATATAGTTTGAAAGATTATCAAAAACTTAAAAAAAATAAACAAAATAAACCAGTAGAAACTGATTACTGATCAGACTCAGAACAGGAGGAACGAGCCACCCGGAAGGGACGTTCCGTCGAGCAGGTGGTGGGCGCCTGGGCGGCCGCAAAGCAAACCTGTCGTCGTAGCAGAACGCGACCTGCAACAATGGAGCGAGAGAAACTGAGAATCAGAGGCCGCCGAACCTGAGAATTCCGAGAGAATGACAAGAACACGATCGCGCGTTACCTCGGGGAAGTTTTGCGAGAACACCACGCCGGGGGTTGATGGCGCTGGCGGCGACCGTCGCCGCCACGAGCGCATTCGCCGGAGAGGATGGCGTGGCCATGGCGCAGCTGCCGCATCAACGCCGGAAAATTCTGGGGGACGAATTGAAGCGAAGGCGTGGCGGCATCAAATACCCCTTAGCTTGCGAATAACAAAAATTTTACGACGAAAGCGCGCGAAAGGGAGTAATTTAGCAAAACCGATTTGAGAAAGCGACCAATGAGGCAATGACCCTGCATTTGTTAACTATTTCGTCGTTTCTTTTTCCCCGAATTTTACTGAATACAAAATTTGATCTAGTCTTCTACCACGCTCTAAATATACACAGCTATAATAATCCTTACACTGATTTAATTTTTTTTGTACGTTTTGTATGTAGCGTGTCAGATCGCCGGCGGAATGTTGAGATGAAACGGCGGCGGCGGCGCCGTCCTCTGCTGCACGACGAGCACGGAGCCCATCTCCAGCGACTCCTCCGACGCGAGCATCTCCCCGACCGGGCCCACCTCCGGGTACTCGATCATCTGGACCCACCCCTCGAGCCCCACCACCAGCTCCGGCGGCTGCCGCCCGCCGCGCCCCACCACCACGAGCGCGAACGCCCCCGCCGTCGCGCGCAACGCCGCCGCCACGTCCACCGCCCCGCTCACCGCCCTCTCCACGTACTCCGCGCGCTCCTTCGCCACGTACTCGCGCCGCAGCTCCGACACGCACCGCTCGTCGGGGTCGTCGTCTTGAACCACCACGGACAGCACCTCCTCCTCGCCGCCGTCCTCGTCGTCGTCGTCGTAGATGCCGATGTGATTGGCGGCGCTCGTCGTCGGGATGCGGTGGTCATCGTTGGTGGCGACGCCTAGCACGAGGCGGATGACGGTCAGCCTGATGGCGCCGTCGTTCTTGGCGAGGCGGCACGCGAACGCCACCGCCTCCCGGTCGTCGGGGCCGCCGAGGAAGACGGCGGCGATCTGGGTCCCCGCCTTCTGGTCGCCTTGGTTCCTCGCCGCCGTCGTCTCCTCGCTCGTTGATATCTTGGTCGGCAGCCGGAAGCTGGCGCCGCCCCTCCAGAACGGGCGGTCGGCGAAGACGCCGACGGTGCACGGGGCGAGCTCGAGCACCTTGCGGTTGAGCTCGCAGCGGTCGTCTCGCCGGCAGACCATCTTGCCGTCGTAGCGCTGCTCCTTGTGGTACGGCAACAACAGGAGCCCGGCGCGGACTTCCTCCAAGCGGCGGTGGATGTTCTTCGCGTTCTTCATGGCGGCGCCGCGGTCGCCGACGTCGAACTGGCGGATGGCGAGGCCGGTGACGGAGGTGAACACGTCGACGGCCCAGTTCACCTGCGTGGCGTCGTCGATGCGGCGGTCAATGTGCTTGTCGCTGTCCTGGACCCGCTGGTGGTAGCGCTTCGGGCCGACGTGCTTGCGGCTGGCGTCGAACAGGTGGAGGACGTGGATGGTGGGCTGCGCGCGGGGCGTCGTCGCCAGGAGCTCGAGGAGGCTGAGCATCGCCGGCGCGCCGCGCGCGCCGTGCACGCAGGCGAGCATGCGCAACTCCTTGTCCGGCGCCATGTGTTCGAGCGCCTGGTCGCTGCACGCGTACGCCTCCTTCTCCTTCCGGAACAGCACGGCGAACACCGGCCCGGCGACGACGGTGCTTATGATGCTGCCGACGACCATCGCCATGAGCGCCTGCTCCGCCCATATCTGCACGCGCGGCCAAATTAGTGGCGCCATTGTGGTGGCTAAGCTAGACGTCGGGTGCAAACACGTTACCCCTTCCGAGCTAGCGAAGCTCATGTCGATCATGTTGACGTGGCCCTTGATGTTGAGCAGGACGCCGAGGCGGATGGCGTCGGCGAGCGGCATCTTGAGGTACCTGGCGGCGGCCATGGTGCCAGCGCACTTGCCGAAGAGGCCGAGCAGCGTGAGGAGGACGGCGGGCACGACGATGGCGCCGGACATGGCGCCGAAGTTGATCCTCATGCCCATGGCGCCGAAGTAGAAGGGCAGCGCCAGGGCGTGGAGCGGGTAGGCGATGGCGTCCATGACGCTCCTCGCCACGGGCCCTTCCCTCGGGAACGCCAGCCCCAGCAGGAGGCTCGCCGGCACCCCGTCGAACCCGGCGTGCTCCGGGAAGTTGCCGACGAAGGAGACGGCGACGAGCAGCAGCACCAGCTCCCAGTTCCCGATGCGGTGGCGCCCGGCGTTGCGCCGGTTCATGTACGCTGCCACCGGCCGGAGCAGCGCCATGGTGACGCCCACCTTGAGCAGCGCGAGCACGCCCATCCCCAGCCGCTCCGACGCGCTGTACCCCGGCGTCCTGCTCGACGCCAGCTTCATGCACGAGAACACCCCCTCCCCGACGATGCAGATGATGTTGGTGGCGATCGCCGTGGAGACGGCGAGCCGGCCGCCGCCCGTGGCCGTGAGGTCGAGCTCGGCGGCCATCCTGGAGACGTCGACGGAGGCGGTGTTGGCCAGCGTGAGCATGAGCACGGCGGAGAGCAGCTCGGGGGACCTGACCGGGGTGTGCATCATGCTGCCGTAGATGCCGCCGGAGACGAAGGCGGCGAGGAGCAGGCAGGTGGCGACGCTGGCGTACGTGACGACGGTGCAGCGGTGCGCGTCGTTCCAGAGCGCGGCGAGGTCGGCGTCGAGGCCGACGTAGAACATGTAGAAGATGCGGGCCTCGGAGACGTACCACCCGTAGGTGTCCTCCACGTTCTGGACCTCGACGTGGACGACCATGTCGTGCAGGCCCAGGCTGCCGACGGCGACACCGGCGACGATCTGGGAGATGGCGCTGGGCAGGTTGTGGCGCCGGAGGGAGAGGTGGATGAACTTGCCGAGCACGATGACGGCGGCGCCCTGGATGACGATGAGGAAGAGCGTGTCCAGGGACACGTTCTGCACGGCGCAATTCACGGCCGATCCACCCATGCCAGCCGGCTCGCCGGCTCGCCGGCCGAATGCCAACGGCTGGCGAACGTGCGGCGGAGGAGACGGTGGCCCTGCAGCTGCAGCCTCCAACGCGGCGGGATGTGCGGTGTTGAGGAGGGTGGAGATCTCCTCTCTCTGGTCGGTCGTTCGTTCGTTCGTTTGGGTGGTGATTAGTTGTTCCACACTTCCAGCACCATGTTGGAGAAAGGTGGTTGTCAACCCAGGTTTATGTTATGTTTTGTTTTGTTGATGATTCATAGTAATCACCGTTGTACATAAACAAATGTAACCTCCCTCTGACCTGTGCTAAGTCATCGTATGGCTTACAACATGCGTGTCTTTTTCTATTTAAGAGAACCCACTCTATTACTGTCCTAAGAACAAGATCAATAGTATCGCCTAGCTTTAAATATCGTCGACATCATTTGTAGTAAACTTAACTTACAATCTTTTTTTCAAGTAAATTTCCTTAAACTTCTCAGGAGGTTTCACTTAGTCCCACGAACTTGCAAAGTGCACATCGAGGTCTCTAAACTTGGTTTATTGTATCATCCCGGTCCAAAGCCGCGTTTGACCGTGGTCTTGCCTATGTGGCATGCCACGTGGACGATGACATGGAATTTTTTTTCTCCTCTCCCCTTTTTTTTGGACCCACTGTGGCCACAAAACCTCCTCTCCTCTTCTCTCTCTCTCTGCCGCTCGTCTCCTCCTCGCTGACTCGGCCGCCGCCGCCTCTCCGCGCCGCGCCGTGCCACCGTAGCTGCTGACGATAAGCTGGCCATGGCGGCGACGGCGGATCCGCGGGCGAAGCTGCCCGCCGCGACGTCGACGCACCACCTCGAGCCGTGGGGGCAGCCGTCGCCGCCGCCGCCAACTCCCTTCGATGGTGGGATCGAGGAGCTTTGGGTAAAGCTCATGGGTCACCTACGAGACGCTGCCGACCGTCTCCGCGTGCCCTAGCCTAGGCCCCACCCTCGCCGCCGCCGACAACAACGAAGCCCGAGAGCCTACCTGCAGAGATGGACTCCGAGCCTGAGCTCAAGGCCCCACCTCCGCCTCCACTTCTCGCCCTGCCACAGCTGCAAGCGGACGGTGCAACGAGGCTGTGGAACCCGCTACAGCGGACACGGTGGCGCCCAACCGCCTCCATGTTGTGGGCGGCGGCGGTGCCCATGCCGTCCTCGTCCCGACGCCAGAAAGCGTGCCGTTCTTGGTGGCGCTCACCCCGGAGGAGATTGAGGAGGACATCTATGCGCCGTCGTCCCCCTCCCTCCCGTCAGCACCGCCATCCTCCTCCCCAAGTCGCCGCCGTCCCCTCCCTCCCGTCAGCGCCACTGTCCTCCCTCCTGTCGCGTGCTTGCCTTCGGCACGGCGGCTCGACGAGTGGAGCGGAGGCTGATGGAAAAGGAGATGGAGGCGCGACTGTGGAGCTCGTGGTGCAGCGGCCGCTGGAGAGAAAAACAAAAGGAAGAAGGGAGAAAAAAAAGAGAAGAAGGGAGAAAAAAATAAAAAAAATTTCATGTCATCGTCCACGTGGCGTGCCACGTATGTAAGACCACGGTCAAATGAGACTTTGAACCGGGATGATACAATAAATCAAGTTTAGGGACCTTGATGTACGTTTTACAAACTCGTGGACCTAAGTGAAACCTCACGATAAGTTTAAGGATCGCTGCTGTATTTTACTCCTTTTATTTTAGAGGTTAACTTACAATCTTTACAACAAACAGCTCTAGCACATCTTAAAGATTTATTTGTTTATTATTTATGGCCCCACCACCGAATATTCTCTCTTCTTATAACACATCTCAAAGATTCATTTCTTTATTGTTTATATGCCCACCACCATATCTTCTTTCTCCTTATCTATATTTCTCTTCTACCTGAAACAAATTGAGAAAAGAAAAAAATGCATGGGTGCGCGTGCAGTGGAATATGGGCATGTGTGCAGACAGGCGGTAAATTAGTCCCACGTGTCTTTCTCTCTCTTAATCTTCTGTTTTTCTAACTCAACTAGCACAAATATAATGTAAATTACCTTGTAGCCTGCTGACGTAGATCTAGGCTGTGTTCGGAGGAGGGGTTGTTCCGGCACGCAAAACGAAGTTTGTTTTATTGCATGATTAATTAAGTATTAGCTTTTTTTAAAAAAAATGGATTAATATGATTTTTCTAAACAACTTTCATATATAAAGTTTTTTTTATAAATCATACCGTTTAACAGTTTGAAAAACGTGTACGCGAAAAACGAGAGAGGTGGGTTAGGAAAATAGAGGAAGAACACAGCTCTAGTGTCTAGTACTAATATAACTCCAAATTTTAAAGCTATAACTGACTTATATATGAACTCTAATGTATGGTCCGTATCAAATTATAATTAAACTTTATTAAAAAATATAATTAAACAGGAGAAAGCAGCAGAGTCCTAGAAGATAATTCGCGCTTCTGCCCTGATCCTCTTGGCCCGCCTGCGATCACACTCATCAACCAGGTGGATATATGTTAGAAACCCACTCAACAATGCAATTTGAGGAGTAGTAGTAGTATTATCAAATTCAACACAAGGAACAACCGAGCCTGTTACAATAATGGATGGATTTTGAGGTGAAAAATGGAAGGATACAAAGGCTAGAAGGTTTCTAGTAGCTTCTAGACAAATAGAAGAAGAGGGAGAGTAAAGATCGACAAGGAACCAAGGCGGGTTCCAGGTCGCCGCCGCCGCCGAGAAGCCTCTCAGCCAGTTCTGTCCGTTCTCTGTTCGATCCCCTCTCTAGTGCTGCTCCTTATGCTTGTATAGTGCTCCTGATTTGTTTGCTTGGACCTTTTTTTTTTAAGAGTGGTTGACAGTCCACAGGCAGCCTATTTGGGTTCCTAACAATATAGCAGTCATCACTAGGATGAGCAGGCCCAGAACCAATAATGCCAGCATCGCACCTTTGTTTCCGTCGACGAGAAGAAGGGAAAACAGGCGCTTGGACAATCCGGCCGAGAAGCAAAACGCCTTAAACGCGATGCCGTGCCTGGAATAGATGCATCACAGTTCTGGATTAGCCTACAGGCGAATAGCCGTCGCAATCATCTGGACGTCGTCGTCGTCCAGCCCCGACACCAGCAACCTTCCCGGCCAATCTGGCGGCATTACTCCTGTCTCCAACGCCACCTCGATCTCATTCTCTATGTTGCCCATATTAGAGCAAGTATAATAGTATGCTATAAGCCGGCTAAATGCTGAGGTGGAGGAGAAAGGAGAGGGGAGAGAGGAGAAGTAGGCTGTAAACTTACCGCCAGCTTGGACACAAGAATCAAGAAACTCTGTGAGAGACAAGCGAACCCTTTATTAATTGTAAAGAGCTAACTATTACTATATAGGTAGGCTGAGAGAAGGTTACAAAAGAACCTTATAGCTAACAGATCAGCTGTATTATTAGCCTTAGCTCTTACCGCCGAATTACCTGTGCGTGTTCCACACTTCCAGCACCACATTGAATGTGGTTGTCAACGCAGGTTTACGATTCCAGAATTGCTAGTATTTGAAATGAGAAGAATTCCTAGTTGGATCCGGCAACAGCAGCACGAGTTGCGAACGTTGAATCCTTGCAAACGATTACGATTACAGTTTACAACACAGTGCACATGAATTAGTCTAATACACAGTGAGAAGGATAGGAGGGTTTGTCACTTGGTCAGCCGAGCCGGTTCCGGATCATCAGGCTAGTGGCGTCAAGGCCCTCTCGATCCTCCAGAGGGTGATGATGGAGGTGAGGATACAGAGCAGCCCCCACTGCCACCACAGGATCTGGAAGGTCTTGGTCATGGGGACGAAGAAGCTCACGAGGAAGATGATGAAGATGAGGGCGAGTGTAACGGCGATGATCCTCACTGTACTCTTCAGCTCTCTGAAGTCTCTCTCCGTCCACTCCTTCATCGCCCGCTTCTCCAGGTCCCTCTTGAACTCCACGGAGGCCTTGTCGGTCCAAGTCTTCTCCACGGTCATCTTCTCCATCGCCTGAAATGTTTGGAGGCAATACAAATATGAAGGACCAGTATGTTTTTTATTTTGCCGCCCACATTGTATTAAGGAGAGTATTACAAATTTTACAGCAATCGACTTGAGCATCACCAAGAGCATCCCGAAATTCTATCCCCAACATTTCAGTTATGGGAATTCTAAACAAGATTTGAGGTGTTAAAATTTTTATTCCTCCAACAGATTAGCTATAATTGGTTTCCTAAAAACAAAAAATGGGCCCTTAGAAAACTTTCAACAGAAATCAGTTTCCACCCCTCGCTCTCACGAGATCACGCTCGCGCGCGTGCCCCTTTGTCGCCCCTCTCCACGCAGTACCATGCCGGCAGATCAACCCGACCGGTACACGTGCACCCCCAGTTTTTAACATGTACACCAGCAATTCCAGCAGGCAGCAAAGCACCAACTAGCAGCAAGCACGACTTTTTTTTCACCGGGCCGGCGAATAGCCGGCCGATGTATATTAAGAGAAAGAAAAGGAATGTACAAGGTTGCGCGGTGCGTCAGAGCACCACCATTACCGACACAAAAGAAAAGAAAAGGCTAAAATCTCACAGCAAAATTTGCTACAGGGTGGCAAATGGGGCTAACAAGACCTGCAGCCATCCAGGTCTCCCATTTATCCCCCATGGCCGAGCAAAGCACGGGAACCGTTGCCGCTATTCCATCGAACACCCTCACATTTCGCTCTTTCCAAATTAACCAAGTTACAAGTATAACCCCCGCATCAAATGTTTTGCGGTCAACCTTAGCAACAGATTTCCGTGCTGTAAGCCACCAATCAGTGAAATCCGCCGACGGCGAAGAGCACGAAAGGCCCAGACGCGTGCGCACCTGACCCCAAATCTGCTGGGTGTAAGCGCAGTCCATGAAGATGTGCTGACAGGTTTCCCCATCATTGGATCACAGATGGCACACCTGGGCAAGGCTCCATCCGCGACGTTGTAGATTGTCGGCGGTGAGGCAAGCGTTGCGCATGGCGAGAAACATAAAGAACTTGCATCTCGCCGGTGCACGGGATTTCCAAATAATCTTGCCAAGCGGGCACTTCATCCTGCCTGCCGAAAACAGGGAATAGGTTGAGCGCATAGAGAACACACCATCCGGAGCTGCCTTCCATATCATCTCATCCCG